AAACGTCGATCTTGTGTAAATCCAAGAACCAAATGCTCAACAGAACCAAATGAATCCCCATACTCCTTCTTGTACTCCCTAGCTCGCTGGATCAGAGCTTCCAGATCACGTCCTAGCATTGAACCAGTCGATTCCCCCAAAACCTAGTATCGTTGGACAGCAGAGAAGAGATATTATCAGGAAACAGCACTATGTAACCCAAAGCTTAGACATAACTAACATGGTCAAGCATTAACTGAAAAACATAGCCTTGTAATTAAAAATGGTTTGAAGAAGGTAAAAGTTTTTCACCAAAGCACTTCAAAAAAACAATACAGTTTGTCACGAGCCATAGAGGCAAAGAGTGCAGAAAAGTTCAATTGACTAAAATCAAATGTACCAAAAAAAAAAAAAAAAAACTGAAATCAATGGTTAAGGTGTTGTACAGAACATCAAGGAGAATAGATTAGAATGTAGAAGGTGTTACCTTTGGCTGGCGTTGTATAAACTTATCAGTAGCTTCAAGAAGGCGAGTATTGTCAACTCCAACTTTAGAAAATACCCTACGAGCAAGACCATTCTTCTGCTCCAAGAGAGCCTTCATCAGGTGTTCTGTCTCCACTATCTGATGCTTGTTCTCTTTAGCCACATCTGGAGAAGAAACAATGGCTTGCCAAGCCATTTCTGTAAAATCTTGTTGAGTAATCTGTTATAACATCCCAACCCCAACTCAATAAAAAAAATTCAAAAAGAAAATTACATAGAAAAGAAAGCTGCTCCACAGTATGATATAAAAGATCAATTTTTCCAATCGCTATGAAGTATAAAAACTTAATAAGACCATCGCAGAAATAAGGCAGCAAAAAAATAAAATTTAAATCCATAGATCAGTGGTATTGGCTTAAACCAAAAGTAAACAGAACCTCAAACAAGGAAACATACAACACTAGCATTGAACCAATGAAAATTACTAAAGAAACTACTCAAAATCAGTATAAATTCAATCTCTTTAACACCAATAAAACTAAACCCATTACATAATTCAAAAAGCTTCTTTTTCTTTTAAATTCAGGATTGGCTAACAAGTTGATGAAATTAATATCAAAGAAATATCTTCAGTCAATAGTGCATCATAAACCATCAAATAAAATGTCCACTGTTAATCTTTTCGTCAATACCAGTGCTTAACAAGCTTACCCTTCCCGTTGAAGCTTCACAACGAACAATGAAAGACCTGGAAGAAGTCCTTGAAAACCTCTCAAAAATCCCATTATTCTTTAACTGAAGCGGTTTAAAGGATTTTAACGAATTGGGTTTTGAAGGAAAGCTCAAAGAAAGGCTTGGGTGAGATAAAAAGAGATTGTTTTTATTGAAAATAGAACGTGAAGCACATAAACTGACCCCACTAAACGACGCTGTTGAAGAAGAAGCAGCAGCCATTGTTGGTCTTAAGTTTAGAAAGAGAAGCGATTGAAATGAAATACCCAAAATCCAATGGCTTTGCCTGGGGATGAGGGAAAACGAAGAGAAAAGAGGGTCTCTTCTTTCTTCTGTTGCTTATCTCTCGGCTTTTCTCGGAGTTTCTCTGGTTTTTGTTTTTTGTTTTTTTGTTTTTAACGTTTTATATAGTTTGAAGATGTCGTTTTAAGGAATGAAGAAAAAGAATTTTTTTTTTTTTTGTAGGAAAAGAAATTCGTCGGCGATTTATTTTGTATGGATCGGAGTTTTAAGTGGTGAGAGTACGTGAAATGTCGCGAAAATATCGGTAATCTTTTATGTTCATACACGTGGCTATCTTTGTGGATAGGATGGCAAAAGAAATAATTTGGCCTTTTTTTTTTTTTTTGAAAGGTTTCGCCCTCATTTTTAATTTAACTTTAAATCATATACTAATAAATATAAAAAATTATTATTCTATACAATATTAGATATCAAAATTATTACCCTAAACATAAGCATAGCCAAGATAAGGTTTTAAATTTAAATTTCATTGTGGGTATATTTACTTGCTTAATTATATTATTACTAATTTTTTTTAGTGCTATGCACGAAGATTTTTTATTATACTTTTTTATAATTTAAATTTTAATTTATATTAATTTATATATTATATATAGATAAATAAAAATAATCATAATTATTTAAAATTTAAAATTAAAAAAATATCGATATATAAATTATTATAAAATAATCTAAATAAGCATTAAGAAAGTTTTAAATTATGAAAATAAATTATATACAAATATCAATAAAAAAATTAATCTTTTATTCACAATTACATAAATTTTTTAAATATATATATATATATATATTATTTTAGTATAAAAACTAAGATTTATATATGTGATATATCATAAAAGATTTTTTCATATTTAAGTTTGAAACTTTATCTTGTCAAACTTTTATGACAAAAAAAATATATTGGTTATGAGAAAAAAATCATAAATATATATTTAATAATTATTTAATTTAAAAAAATTTAATTTTTAAAAGTTTTAGTTTATTCAAATTTAATTTTAAATTAAGATAAAAGAAGTTAGTATAATTTTAAATTTAGATATGTGTGTAATTTTGAATTGAGATAAAATATTTTTTTATTTTAAATTATAAAAAAATAAAGACAAAAATTGATAAATAACATAGATTCAACCACAAATATTATTTATTTAAATTTATATGAATATTAATTTAGATTGTGTATAATTTTTTATGATTTTTAAGATTTAAGAATTTAACCTTTAAAAACTATTTAAATTGAATAAGAATGAAATATGATAAGATATATTTTATTAGATTTAAATTAAGATAAATCTTATATATTTGAAAAAATTTTGATAAATGTAAATTTTAAAACTTTAAAATTTTTAAAAATTAAATAATTGATTTAATAAAATTATTTTAAAATATCTTTCGAGTCAAAAATATAGGTTGTTCACATAAGCATTTACATAAGTAACTCTTATCAATTTTTATATATGTTATAATATAATATTATATATGATTTGTTAGTTGCTTATTTATTTATTATAATTTAATTATAATATAATAATTAATTATTAAATTAATTATATGAATATAATATTTGATTATGAATATAATTTTAAAAAATTAATAAGTGTAGCTTTAAAAAATTAAAACACTTGAAACATGGAGCTCCATTTTGGCAATTACATCTTTATAATTATAGGTTAAATGTCTAATTATTCAGGCGACAATGATAATAATTTTTATTTTCGAAAGATACCATTAAAAGATTATCCTGATACAGATAGCTGTCAATTATATTATTTCACTTAATTTTTGTGTTTATCATATTAAATATTTATTATTTAAATATATTTTATTTGAGTATGCCATAATCTTTTTTAATTTTATTGGTAAAATTTAAAATTTTCACAAATAAAATATTAAATAATTTTCTTAAAAATTTAATAATCTTATAAATTCGTTAGCGAGACCAAGATTTTATCAACATAGAGTGGATAAGCATTTTCTTCTTAAGGTTGCAGTGATTATGTTAAATCTTATATTCAAAATTAGAGTGTAAATGATTAAGTTTGAATTGATATAGTAATTAAGTTCGAATTCGAATTTAATTTCAATTTTGAGGTTCAAAATTTAATTCAAATTTGATTGAGTTTTTTTTTTTTTTTAATTCGAGTTTCACTCAAAATAAAAATCAAGTTATTTAAACTCATGCAATTAGATTTGATTAATATGTAAAAATAAATTTAAATTTTATATTCGATAAAAATTTAATTATTTATACTCAAGTTTGAGTTTAAAATATTTTATTAATTAAAATATATTAAAATATAAAAATTTGATTAAACTCTCAAACTAATCGAGTTCAAACTTAACTCAATAATAATCAATTCGAATTAAAATTTTATGTAAATCAAACTCAAATAATTTATAAATATTAATATATCATTTATTATTTTATTCATAATAATTTTATTATTTTATATTTTTTAAAAAATCATTGGTTGAAAAGCCCAATAAAGCGGTCCATTATCCACGAAAATAAAGTATCACTAAAAAAATTTATAAACCTAGAGATTTTTTTTTATTTTTGTTTGAGATATTTTAGTATTTGATAATTATTTTAAGTCATAATTATTTTATAATCGAATCGAATCGGATCTCGTAAAATGAATAAGCTCTTTCAACGTTTATTTTTTCAATTCACATTACTCGAAATCGAGACTTTATTTAAAAAAAATCGAAACAGGCATTAGTAAACCTAAAAATTTCTACTACCAAGTTTATTCCAATTATCTTCTCCTACCAAGATTTTTCTTCTCATTTGGACACATATTGTTGGTCCAGTTTTGCCAAAGAAAATTGCTCTACATTATACTTATCCAGATCTGTTATTCTGTCATGATAAGCATTGAGAAACAATTTTGGCATAAACAATATACTTATCCAGATCTGTTATTCTGTATATGGAAATCTATTGGCATAAATTTTAACTACAGGCAAGGTTTTATTGTCTAAATCAATTTATGAGATATTATTCATTTTAATTCACTGATCTTATAATTTTGTTCTACAAAAATTGTTTTATAAGTTGAAATTGATGCCTCACAAAAAGTTTTTCATAAATTAAAAATGTTATAATCACTTATATTTTAAAATCAATTTTAGTACACAATCATTGTGAAATTTATAACTTAACTTATGAAATGCTATCCATTTTGGCTCATTAGATTTTGCGATTTTATCTCATTAGACTTTATAATTTTGTCTTACAAATAATACTTCATAAATTGAAAATAATATAAATACTTATATTTTAAAATTAACTTTAGTACATAATCGATGTTGAATTATTGATCTGTCTCTAAGACCATTACATCTTCCTCTTCGATGAAAATCCACCGCTTTTGGTAGCATATTAATACTCCAAAGGTAGCTTTGATATTAAATGTTAAAATCCACATTAACTTGTGAAATATTATCTATTTCAGTCTATTGAATCTCATAATTTTATTCACAAAGACTTCTCACAAACTAAAGATGTTGTGGACACTTGGTATACAACCAACATGAGATTTATAATTCCTCTTTAAGATCATGACACCAAGCTAGATTATAATTCCTCTTTAGGGTCATGACACCAAGCTAGTGTCACAGACCATGTATGATTTGGAGTTTAAGTTTCAGTCGTGACACCAGGTTGAGCTAAACCTTTTCATATTTTGAGAACATCCGGAGTGGAAATGGGGCCATAAAGCAGTCATCATGACTGTCAGACGATCAACATGGTCAAGAAAATGCAGGAACAGCTTTATAATTAAGCAATAGTTTAAGCATAGTATGTTTTAATGTGTAATGCTAGTGATTTTCCAACAAACATTTTGATTGCTTACAGACAACGCTTTGTAGATCACTAATTCTTAATATGACAGAATTTAGGTGATCTTCATGCTACCAAAGGAAAGTAAACCAACTACAATGGCTATTTGTATTTTGACCATCAAGTTATGGAAACATCAAGCCAATAAAAAATCTATGAAACCGTAATATAAACTCCAAACCACCATAAATCTTTCTTGAAGAAGGGATGTATGCAGAAGGGAGCAATGCTAAGGTACCAACTCTATATCTGTAGCTCTCGGCATTTATAATTGGTAAAAGTATGATCAGCAACATGAATATGAGTATCATGTCAAATTACACGATAAAAAAATGATATTATACAAGGGAAGACGAATTCAAAACATAAATATGTGGAAAATCAGAGATTTAATTGCCTGATAGCAAAGTCTAATTAATGTGAAAAGAACAAAGTGAACAAAACGGATGGACAATCATCAACTACACAAAAAAGGCGTAGACCAGTGGTGAAAAAAAACATGACCTATATAATAAATGTGCATGATGCCAACTGCCTTCATTGATCAGAAATGTCCGCAACTTCAATTTTTTTATACTAGTTCCAGCAATCATCATCTGCAGAAAATTTGCAAAGGCCTAACTTAATTTAAAACCAGGGATTATGTTCGCAGTGAAGAAACAGTCAATTAACTTAAACCACCTGATAATGATGTCGTCCCTTCTTCAAGCTGTGGATTATAATATGACACAAACACATTTGTTCTGCTTTGGTTGGTTTGTTGCTTTCTTTTCTGCTCATTAATGAAAGATACAAATGTTACTTTAAGGAAAATAAAACATAAAAGCATCACTTGAAAAAATTAAGTTGGGAAAAGGACAACACGAGTATTATTGATCTTTATGAAAAACTTCAGATATAATATTAGGAATCTCACAGATAATAATTGTACCTTTTTCCAAAGGAGGTTGAACAACAACATGCATAGTCGTCACCCCGCCAGGAATATCACAAAGAGGGCTCTGGCACTCTCCCAGGGTTTTGTTGTTCTCCAATATTTTTCCTGCACTAATTAACTTGACATCTTTCACTGTCATTGGACCATTCTCCTTCCCTGCCCAAAAATAAAAGAGTATAATTACACATTTGGAAAAAATTTTAATCAGAAGAGCAGAGAGGTCTTGTCATATGCAGGAATCGCGAAAGAGCATACAGAGAAATCCAATGCCATTCAATTGGAGACAATTTAAGACTTCCATCAACTACAGTCCAAAACTAACACAATCAATCCATTCCTCATTATCTTGTATCACATTGTGAATTTATACAACCATTTCTTTTCTCATTTTTTTTCCATTTAATAAAAAATAGGCCACTGCATTTGCTAGTTTTCCTCTTATGCGAAATGCAAGATAAAGGAAGAGGTAGATGGCAGAACTTTGCTCAAACTAAGCTTTTAGTTTAACCGAGTAACTGTAATTTACAACTAAATTAAAACCAACTGCAACACTCCCATATCTGACAAAGCATAAAAAAAATGCAAAGCATCTAAGAGCAAGAATCAAGAGATTGAGAGAGAGGAGGATTAACAATTTAACAATAGCAATATATTAGCATAAATCTTAAAACTTCAGTCTAGATCATCTTGCTCAGAATTCAATTATGAACTGTTAAAAAAAAATGCCTCAGATGTGCCTCACTCAACATAGTTTGAAAGCCCGGCACCCAATGCAGACAAACATTTCCAATAGAAACACCTATGATTCAATGAAGCAAACCAAGACCCTAGTATTTTGGTTTAAGTGATAAGAAAGAGAAGTATCAGCAACACTCTTCAAATGATACAAGTTTGTATGAAAAAACATTTGACCTCCCTGTTCATCTTATACCATGAAAAAGGCCGAACCATTCTTTATTCATATATGTAGCATGTTATTTTGGTTGCCTAGGAAATATTTCATTATTAAGCATTTCATACAGCAGTGATAATCGGCATTTCTAATCAATTTACTGATCAAAGAACATATTCCAGTTTCTCAGCTACGAATAAAGGATTCTTGTCCTAATTCTGAAGGAAGTAAAGCACAATATAATGATTCTATTTTCTTGCATAGTTTCTCTCATCCGAATATTCAACCCGAAATACAAATAAATTGCATAAATTTTGAAAAGCAATATCATGATCCCATTCTTCTAGTTCAAACCGTATGGAAGAATGAAACAGTAACCAAAAGACAATTAGATGAAGAGCAGATATGTAAATACAATAAAGCTGAAAGTCTGCCTGCGCAATTCCATTTGGATTTAATCAAACACCCATCTAACCTTTAGGCCATTGAGCAAGAACACTTTCCTTCAAGGTTGCAACACTAGTAGCAGCAGGAAAGGTTTTAGGACCAATATCTGATCCATCAGTCAATCGAAACTTGATCTCCAACTGATTTTGGACACCAGCCATCTCCAGAAACCTTAAAGACTTAGAAAATCTGAACCCTCCAAGATCTTTGTTTGGGCCTTCTCCTCAACTGCATACAAAAACCTCAATCAGGATTGCTGTAAAGATACCAAGCCTCCCCCTTAAGAATTGTCAACTGGAAATTCTGCAGAATTGAAAACCAAAAAAAAAAAATTAAATTAGTTGACACAGAGATATATTAGAAACAGATACGCAGGTGATTAGTTTAGGAAACAAAGTGTATAAAAGATAACAACTTTAAGAGTACAGATTTGAATAACTTTTCTCAAGTAATCCAAATTGGGTAAATCCAAAAATAGAATATAATCCACTCCATATATTGGAAAAAAAAAAAAAAACAATGGAAGACAAAAACACACAGTAAAATCACCAAATAAGCAATCATCCACCAATAAAAAAGGAAATAAAATCTCAAATTTAGGATAACAAAATCAGCCAAAATCCAAAACTTGGTCACTCCAAAACCAAACAAATACTTGAAAGCAGTGAAAAAGCTTGATGGGTTATCTTACTTGAGTCCAAAACTGATCTAGGCTGGTTCCTGTTGGCTGAAAAATCCAAGATTTGAAGAAAAGAAGAACAATATGAGAAAAAGAAACTAATGAGGCTGCTTTGATATAATTATAATTATTATATCAAATCAATAATATAAAAAAAGAAAGAGAGAGGAAGAAGAAGAAGGAGACATCAAATAAGAAATCTCTAAAGACAAGGCTGTTTCGGAGTTTTCAAAGTCTACCAAATCAATGGTCAATGCTTCCATTCTTGCCTTCTCCTTCCAATCTCCTTAGGCTATGGAAATTGACATATTTCTTTTTCTCTCTTTTATAAAAATAAAAAATAAAATAAAAAAGAGTGATCCTTTTGTTTAACGTCCAATGTTACTTCAACTTACAAACGTTAAAACTAAACTACTCCTTGTACTTGTCTGGTATGTCTTCGTAGAAATTACTATGATTTTGCATGCAACATCATAACCGTTGGATCTTCATCTTATCATCCTAATTATCTATTTATTTATTATTTTCACATGAAAATTCTATTGAGTCTAGAGTCTCTTGATTATTAATAATGCTAATAATAAATGTAAATATCTATCTTTGTTAATAGTAATTTGTTGATAAAATATTTAAGTTTTAATTTTATATATTATCAAATAAAAAAATATATTATCAAAGTTAGGAGCACAACTTATTAAATAACCATTTTTTAAAATATTAAATAACTTTTTTAAAAGTGATAAAATAGTATATTTGGCCCAAAATATTTTTTAAAAAGTCAATTCTCATGTGATTTGATAAAAATTATAAGATATTAAATTCTTGATTTTAAGAATTAAAATTTTATTTTTAATATCTTAACTATAAAAAAATATGTTTGAAGAGTGCAAGTAGACGATTAGGGTTGATGGTCCAATCCGCAGTGTATTTTGGAATTTGTCAAACTCAGTTTTTTTTAATTATTTTTAATTGGCAACTCCCCCCCCCTTTTTTTTTTTTTGCAAAAAAGTCCAAACATCAAAATCATTGATCAAATTTTAACTAAGACCGAAATTTTTTTAGATTTTCATAACGAATGTTTTAAAAAAACTTTATTACGATTACGTATAATCGTAAGCAAAATTTTATTTTTTTATTGTTTAAATTGACGACAAAAGATTTTCATGTCTGCTTTAGTTTGGTTTGACATGTCCGAGACCTTTCCAGATTCTTCTATATAAGGCTCTTTGAAATAATAATCAATCAGAAGAGGCTAATCAAGTCTTAGTCATTTGGTTAAATTATGGTAAAGATGATGATTTGTATTAATAAAAAATGCCAAAGAGAATCCAATTTGATGGGGAGGGAAAGTGGGGAAATTAAGATGATTTGGATGTCACCAAAACACCTTTCACCTTAAAAGATCCTAATTTTCTAAATTTGAGTTGTTTTATAAAATTATATGTATAAAAAAAATTAAAAATTGGTTTAATATTATCGATGTAATTTTGGATAAAATGAGGGCTGAACATCTTGAAGGCTGATTTAGTGAGGCTTTCAGATGCTCTGACATTTAAATTAATAAAATATTTAAGAAAAAAAAATAAAGAATGAAACAAGAAAGGGAGAAAGAAAAATAGTAAATAGTAGAGAATAAAAGAGTAAATGATATATTAATATTTATAAATTATTTAGAATCAATTTAAATGAAATTTAAATTTAATTTGATTATTATTAAATCGAATTCAAATTCGAATAATTTGATTTATTAATAGAGTCGAATTCGAATATTCTTAAATCTTATTCGATTAATTTACAAATTTAATTAAGTTTTTATATTTTAATTATTTTAATTAATAAAATATATCAAACTTCAATTCGTGTTTAAAAGTAAATAATTTAATTTTTATTGAATATAAAAATTAAATTTATTTTTATATATTAATTAAGTTTAATTAAATAAACTAGAGTAATTTTATTTTTATCTCACGTCAAAATCAAATTAAAAAAATAAAACTCAATCTAATTTGAGCTAAATTTTAAATCTCAAACTTTAAATTAAATTTAAACTTAAATTTAATACTATATTAACTCAAATTCAATCGATTATATCTTTATTAAAAAATAATAAAAAGAATCACATATATGCCGTAATCGTTCCTTTTATTCCTCGTAGATGCTAAAATGATTACCTGTTAGTTGATTATTTATCTTGAAGACATGCATAAATTGAAATGGGACGGCTTGATTAGGGGTAGCAATAGGATGGGTTAGAATAAATTTTTACTCGTTTTAAATTTGATGATATTTTATATGAATAATATTTGAATTTGATCAATAATTTTTTTAATTTTTTAATATAAAATTTGATCTGATTTGATCTAAATTAATATAATATTATTTTTAAAATATAAAATATTATTTTTTAATATAAATATAAAATTAAATATATATAATATATATAATTAAATAATTAATTAAAAATAATTTTTTATATATTAAATCGGGTTAAATTTACTTAAAACTCAATCACAATCCGATCTTTTTTTTTTATTATTATTATCCAACTTAACTTAATCCAATCAAAGACTGAATTTAAAAAAAAAAATTTAATTATAAAAGGTTTGATCGAATCAAAACTTATCGGATATGAGTTAAATTATCTTACTTAAGCTTGATAATGTGGCAGAGTATAACAAATATAAGATTAGATTAAACTTATGTAAGATGTTGAAACTGAAATTTTAAGACCTTTTCTTTATCAATAAGTCAAAATCTCGATCACACAAATTTGGTTTGTTGAACTGCTGATAGGAAAAAACAATTATTCTAATTTCTTGCTTATTAGAATCATTCAAGACAAACAAAAAAAAAAGAAAAAGGGGAAACGATTCTGTTTGCACATTAGATAAAGATCACAACTGACATCTTGCTTTTACAAGCATTTCAATGCGTAAGGTTCAAAAGCCATTGAAACAAAGAGATCAAATTCTATTCTTTTAAAAGCTAAACTTTGGAGTAGATTTAACTTTGAAACTTCGCTTTAAAAAGAAATTTCTTTCATTCTTTGTCAATAAATATGATATATGTGGAAAAAATTTTGAATAATAAAATCTTGAGTTAGATCAATTTAAGGGTTAGATTATTTGTCTGAACCTGAAAATTCATTAAAATTTTGAGAGAATTTAGATAAAAAATTAAATTTTATTAAACTAGTTTGAGCATAAATTTTAGATCTGTTTAAATTTTGAGTCACATTTGGAATAAAAAATTTAAAGATTAAGCCCAACTTGAATTCACGAATATAAGTTATTTATTTATATATATAAATTATATATAAATTAAACTTAATTATATATTAAAAATAAAAATTATATATTTTATTAAACTTAATTTTTAATTTTTATATATGTGAATTAAATATAATTCAATTAAACTTAATTTAATTATTTTTTAATTTTTTATTATATAAATTAAGTTAATGGATGGACTTAAAATTTATTTTTTTTAATTTGAACCAAACTCAAAAAATTTTTAAGATCCGAAATTTCAACTCGAATCGGACTTAAATAAACATATAAATTATTAATATGAAATATAAACTCAACCCAAATTCAAACCAACCCGAACTATTATCACCTCTCTCTCTCTAATGCACTAAACTAAATAGAAACGGTTTTTTGTTGGAGGCTGACAATAACATTTCCCTGGAGATACACATGACACAGAAAGGAGCAGCTCTGCTGCAGAGACATGGGGGAGATGGAACACTAGCATAGTGCCTTGTAGACAGGGTGATAACTCAATTATATGATGGAAAAATTGGAAAAGAATTTTTCTGCACAAATTTTTAAATGTTTCTAGTGAAGCGTACATAACAAATACCAATTTATAACCTAAGAACAGGTCCCCAATTCATGGGAGCTGTAACACAAGCAATCTCCATGATCTAGTCCTAAAATTCAACAAAACATTTCAAAACAAGGGGAAAAGAATTGAGGAACTAACAAAAAAATGGAAGGGAAGAAAATGGCCTGGGCTGAAGTGGGATCCTGTCACCAAATGACCTGCCCAAGCCATCCTCTTCCTATACACCAATGAATCCAATGACATCAGTGGGAGTATTTTCTAGTCTTGTGTATTTTGCACGTTATTCCAACATATGCATTAAGCCAAGAACCCTTGCAGGAAGACCAATATGAGCATCCTTTTCCCACCCCAAAAAATAAACATTGATTGCTATCTTACAAACTGAAAGAATGAATTCCATGCCATTGCTAGTAATGCAGGTCTTTCCAGCAAAATGTTTCGAGTGATGAAAGTATATCCAGTCCTCAAATTGTCACTCTCTTCGCCAATTTTCATCTCACCTTCTCAAAAGGATCTCGAGAAAATTTTCAGGCTGTGGTAAAACTTATGACACTTGACTTGCTAGTGTCTCTTAAAGTCTATCTTTCCTTCTAAGTCCACTAGCTGCGTAACTACGATTCCAAAATGTGGCAGTTCCTAACAAAATCATTGGAGTAGTTGACATACTTGGCCCAAAATGGCCGAAGATGATCAAAGCCAATCTGCAGCCATGGTTTTGACTGGCCATTGTAATGAATAACTGCAGCTCTTTTCACATTCTCAATGTTGGTTTTACTCTGATAGCCCAAGCCAAGCATATGCCATGATGGGTCAATTGGATGAACATGGCCTTTAAATGCAATCAAAGCTGGTGGTAGAGTTCCAAGCTTCCACATAGTCAGGTTTGACTTCAGGTTCTGCCAAAAAGAAACAAACAATCAGAGTAAAAGGAATATTCAAAATTACAGAAACAGTCAGGAAAATAATCAACTCTTATATTTGTAGCTGATAGTCATTGTGAGTAAAATCCAAAAGGAAAAGAGAAGGTAAAATTACAGAACAGTCAGGAAAATTAGCAGCTGATAAGTTACCTCTTTCAGCCAGGAATGATATGTTTCTCTTATATTTGTTTTTCTCCATGCACGGAGATCAAATATATTCATTCCATAAGCCCATGCACATTCATCAGGATCCAAATGCTTAGCTATAAGGGGATGAGAAAAATTGAAGTAGTTTCTGAAATGTTTTGACATCACCCACTCATCTTCACCTTTACAAGTTTCTACAGCTCCATTAACCTTTCCCTGTAGATCAATCTCCCAAAGAGGAGACAAATCATGCTGAATTACAACATCGTCATCTAAAAAGACCACTTTGTCGAGGTCTGGAAAGAGCTGTTCAAAACAAACAATCAAAAAACACACTTTGGGAGGAAAGACAATGAGGAATAAGTGAAATTGTCCATTTCAGAAGAAATTGTTATAGCCACATCTAATTACCTCTGGTAAATATATCCGAAGATGGTTGAGTAAGGATATGTACTTTGGACTTCTAGCCTGCAATTTTGAAGCAAATGTTCGAGTAGTATCAGAGAGATTTGCTCCTGCAATATGATTGCCATGATAGTAATTTCTGATGCCATTATGGTTCTCTACAGCTTCAAGCACAGGAACATTCTCTCTAGTTAACCAATCAAACTGGTGAACACCTTTCACTTCAACTATGGCAGGAGATACAGGGTTTAGCGCAAACCAGGAATGCATACCCGCATAAGTTTTCTTGTCTGTGATGATATGGAAGACAATCTTTTCAGGTTCTAGTGATGACTGGACAGCAGAAGTAACAACTACTGATGCAGCCAATATGTTGTCTGTTGACAGGACAAAGTGGTGGTAAGAGTTGTTAGAAAGCACAGGGAGGAGCTCAGGAGAAGGCAGTTGTCTGCGTGCATGAGCATTGGAAGAATATTCATCAGTTAAACGCAGAGAGAGACAGTGGATGCCTTTTGGAATCGAACTTGCAGCAAAGTGTTTGTTCATCAGCTCAGAAAATTTCGATTCCCTAATTTCTCTTTCAAGTTTCTCCATCTGTGCAGAAAAGACAAACACTAATTAGGAAGTTCACCCAACTTAAATAATATGAGAAAAATTAGAATCCATACTGAATGTATATAAAGATATTTGAATTTCTGAACACTTTCTTACATCTTGAAGAAGAATGTAAGCCAAAGCTAGTATGAAAAAGATACCTTAACAACAACTTAAGGTCAAGATACCCTTCTAGCAAAAATAACAACAGAGGCAAGAAGATCAATAGATTTATCCTTAGAACATAAACTTTGTAGCCTGATGGTAAATTCTTTGAAAAATATTGGATCTGTCAAAAGTCAAAACCCACCACAACTTGAAATCTTATAGAGCTTGCCTTTAGCCTTCCTAAAGCCACAACATGAGGCTTTTATGTCACTGATACTAAAATTTATCCAGATCACACCAAGATGATAGCATTTGCTGATACTATAATTTTAGCTCATCTACATAACACAAACAGGTTTAGCCCTAGCAGGCAGATCATGTACCTATAAAGTAATCCAAACTGCACTTCATATATCCATGGAAGCCCAAGAATCAGGTTATTACCTAGTATCAGTTCAGACTTCAGAAAAAAAGCATCCTATGGAGGTGAAATGGTTACAGCTTTCCGCATTTTTGTTCAAAGCTGCCAATCTCTAGACTCTTTAAGTTTCTTCCCCATAATTCATTAACACCACCAAAAATAATCTTATAAAGATGCTATGGACACCCATCAACTTCAAACCTTTTATTTTTTTTTTTCCTTTTTGGCCGCAATTTTTAGGAACTAAGCAATGCTCGTGAATCATAACATTTGAAAAAAGAATATTGAACCTAATTAGAAATTAAAAGATTATATTTAAAATAACTACATGATTCTTTTGGCTTCAATAAGGGACTTCATCTCTCCCTAAAAAGACTTGGGATTAAGGTTCGGTAAAGTCTAACTTAGTTGAATGACAGATATAATTGTTAAATTATTTGGCTGAAGAATTGCAGATTTATATTTGAAAAAGAACAAATGGAGAGAAAAGGGGCCAAGGTGAAAAGAATGAGGAAGGGAGAGATAACACATCGACCAAATGTCCATAAAGAAGCTGATGTTCTTAATCTTCTTTAGTCCATTTTTCTGTCTATATTGTCTGTTGTTCTGTTTTGTTTTTAAAGCCCAAAATCGAGGGGAAGAGATTCAAAACACAAGATACCGTTAGGTTAGTCTTCCATCCAGCTTATGCACACTTCCTCTCATTAATAAACAGCCAAATGTCCATAAAACCGCCTAAAAAAAATGCATTTAAACTAAGAACTTTTAGGTCTTACATAGTGACAAGAAAATGTTCCAATCAACCCAAGGTGCTTAATATATTAATTGATGCAATGAAAAGAATTATATATCAACCTTAGTTCTAACAACCCTCAACCATGTTAAAAAAATAAAATAAGAATTAAAGTAAATTAAAAGTAACTATAATTTATGTAACATGACCATACCATTGCTCTTAACATGAATGCAAAGGTCTTTGCATCATACTGGTTGTTCTTCATTTCAGAAACAAGTTGACTAAATGAATCTGGAAGCTTTAGACCATCTGGGATTTCCTCATTGTTTACTTGATTGAGGATCTTATAAAAGTCCTTAACTAGTCTCTGTTGCAGCAACATCATCACCACAAAAGAACAAGTCAAGTTAAAATCATAAATAAATTATTGACCACAAGACATATCCAAAAACCAGTTTCTGTATGGAGAGAATGGGATATTTACTCCTGAATCATCAACTCTCCCAAGAAGCCTCGGTCCTAATCGCCGACCTAAACAATCTGTGCATGGTAGAACAAGAAGAAGAAAAGTCAGGGATACAATGTCAGCATTTTGAAATATAAAAGGCTATGGTAATCTAGCTAGTTAATTTGGAACCCAACAAGAAAAACATTCCCAGTTCTTACATGATTGTAGTCAAATTTTATTGATATAAACATTGAAATGAAATAAACAGAAGCATCAAAGAACACGATTAAAAAGTAACATTATAAGCAATCAATTTCAGGCACCAATGAGGACATCATTTTAAACTTTGGCTTAACCAGTTCTAATCAATTTCCATAGTATTTCCATCAGGAAAGTAAGTTCTCAAATTTAGACACTAAGTTCTCGATTTAGACACTAAATACATAAATGAACTTTTGAAAAATAGAAAGATCTGGTCCCAAGTTGACCGATTCCACATAAATATATCTATTTTTTAAAACCTAGAATTTCACTAAGGCTAATTTGTGGAAATCAACTGGAAAAGAATTCATTTGGTGATAAACAAAAAGAACAACAAATAAGAATGCTAAAAAAAAAAATGACTATGCATAAATCCATAAACCAGGAAGATTACTCCAATTGAAATATAGACATCAGAAACTGTTAAGATATGTATGAACTGAGACTGTGGAGCAATAAAATGGGTTTTGAACTTTGAACTTTCAGCATAATCTATCTGGTTTATTAATCTGATATCCAAAGCGTTTATTAATTAACAAATGAACAACACTAACCTAAGATTCAGATTCAAACAGCAAGCTTAAGTCAAAGAAGCCCTTTCACAGATCCATTTTTATTATATTTGGATCTTATAACAATACAAATAACTTCTTTTCAGCACCAATGCATATAAATTTGCCATCAACATACACTACAAAATAGAGATTTAGGGCAATCATGCCACATAACAACCCACATATCCAAATCCATCCATGATCCAAAACAAGCCAAAATGTTAATGAATTAGCTCCATCCACACGCCAAATCACATCCAAGTGATTCCCAAAAATTGGATCATCATCATATCAACAGAATGAAATGAAATCAAGAGCGGCCCATACGTCCAAAATCAAGTGTATGACCAAATAAACATATCAACACAATGAGAATCAGGATAAACTAATATTCCAAGAAACAAAAAAGAAAAAAAAAACTGAACTAAACTAAGATTAGATAAAGATAATAAAAGGACCCACATATTATCCAATTAGCTCCATCCACACCCCAAATCAGATTGACATGAATCCAGAAAATGTGGGCATCATAACATCAACCAAAATCAAATGCATAACCGAATACACATGAACAAAGTGAGAAGCGGCATAATTAAGATTCCAAGAAAAGCCTAACAGTTAATAAAACCATCATCAGAGGACAATAACGAAAGAAAACCCACATCAAATCACCTCACGCCCCATCAAATACATAACAAAAAGAACCCAAATCAAATCCAGTCAAGATCTATTAGAAACCAATAAAGGAAAAAAAATCATAGAAATTAAAAGGAACGGTACCAAATGAGGAGCACTTGTTGACACCTTCAAGGGTAACAAGAGCAGTAAGAATGAAGACAAAAGGCAACAAGAAAGCGAGGATGAGAATGGTGTGGAAAAGGGTCCTATATGAAATATGTCTAGCTGCCACCTTGATCTTCATCAAGTCAATAAACCCATTGTTGCTTGATATCGTTATACTTCTCATGCTAGGCGAGATGTGAAGCTGCATCCTTTTCTATGCAGCCCCACCACACCTGAACAACTCGTCTCCACTCTCTTCAAAAAGACACAACCTTTCTTAATGTTATCAAAAACAGCTGTTGCTCCTCCACAATATCTCTCTCTGCTCCTCTCCACACCCAATCCCACCCCAACCACCATCAGATCCAACCCTTTTTCTCTTCTTTTCCTGACTCAAGCTCAGATTTTTTTATCTGGGTTTCCTTCAAAACTCTCCCCTTTGTTGTTGTTCTTTCTAACAAAGACCTCCACTGCATTGGATTTTCAACACCCCCAAATGGGTTTCTTTTTCCCTTTCTTTTGGATTTTTTGGATCAGAGAATCAAACTTGGGGGTTTTTGCAATCTGGGTTTGGATTCTTTTTTTTAATTATTATTATTAAAGCTTTGGCTTTGTTATTTTTTGCTCTCCCGTGGATCAAGAAACAAAGAATAAAGAAAAAAAAATAATGGGAAACTATTTTTTCTTTTTTCTTTTTTATGTTAAAAAATGGAAATTTTCCTTTTGGGTACTAATGGATCTTTCTCATTGGTGAATCAACTCATCTAATTTCCTTTTTTTTAAAATAAATAAATAAATAAATTTCATTATATAATCTTTAATAAAATTTAAAAAAGAGAGAGAGAGAAACAGAATAATTTTTAAAATAAACAAAGAAAAATGATAACTTTGAATTTTGATGAGTCAATAGCGTGTTGGCTTTAGAGAGAGAAATGTGGGGGATAGAGTTTGACCTTTGAAAGAGAGATGAAGTAAAGCAATGACCATTTAGAGCTAAATTTAGATATCTCCTCCTAAGTTTATGGGCAAGCATTTGCTTTATGTGGACATTATTTTCTTAATTTTACTTTTAAAAACGCTTTTTAAAAATTTTTTTATCTCATTCCAATTCAAAAATATAGTAATTTATACTTTTAAAGTGATTAGTATCTTTTAAGAGCAAATTATGTTATTGAATTTTATATATATATATATATATATATCAAATAAAAAATTTTAAATCTAATTCTTTTAAATAAAAAAATGCCAATGTCGTTGGACATTTTTAACTTATATTATGAATATGACTCAATTTGATTGCCTAGTTAAATTGTTTGTTCACAAAGGACATTTTTTTTGAGGGTGACATTCAACCTACAAAAGGGAATATTATGCAATAAGTTGTAGACTTTCACCAATTTTGGTACAAATAATAATTATAAATAATATTTTATAGCTCATATAAATTATAAATGTTAAATGTTCTTTTGGTCAATGAAAAATTTACAAGTTTTTGCCTATTCATTTATGGCAGGCCTTTTGTTTTATTCTCATTGACAGAGTTCTATTAATATATCTACATAACAATTCATAAAGTGGGTTTTTGTTTATTTTCTTTAATCTTTATTTTTTTTTATTTAAAAAAATAAAACCCAAATTTCAAACATAGAAAATATGTAATTACAATCTATCCCATTGCTATATAAGGGCACCTAAGTACTTTTTTTTTTGGCCCTAGGGTATATATTAATCTCATTGGATCTTTGATTCTTGGGTACCATCCTACAAGAATAAACCCTATGTCTTTCTCAATGATTTATACCCAATAGCACCTTAATGATCACTTTTTTCTTTAATTAAAATAGAAAAAAAAATATTATGCATAAATTTAAATTTTTATTTGAGATAATTTTAGATTAAAAACGCGATAAATTATCTTTCGTTTCGTAAATTTCATTCCTTATTTTTAAAAAATTGAAGAGAATTAATAAGGTTGGTGGATAAATAATTATGCCTAACAACAATGGCAGTGTAATTTTATGGAAAATTTAACTCTTAATATCTTGATCAAAGCTGGCTAACATGAATATAAAACCAACCCATTATTGACCAACTTTCCATATGTTGAAAAACTCCCCAACATTGGTTGGTTTAGGCTGAATTTGTACATAGTTTGACATTGAGCTAAAACTCATATAAATAAAATTAGGTTTAAAATTAATTATTATACTTAATTATTTGAGATCTTTCTAAAGTTGGTGATTTTTGAATTCGAAATTTAATTTAATAAATTTATATAATTATTTAAAAAAATATTTAATAGAATTGAGATTCGAATTTTAATTTTCATAACATTAATCGATATATCTTTTACGTATAAAAGAAAAATTAGATGACTTTTATGCAAATTGAATAATCAAACTCTTAATAATTATGTTGTTAAGGTATCCTTTTCCACCAAACAGTATTTTTTATGGGGAAAAACCCTTAAATTAGGCTTGATTCCCCTTTGACATATGATTGTTTTATAACAGAATTTGTGACAAGACCATAAGGGATGATTTTAATTTGCATAAAATATAATATTCTTATTTATTTTTTTCTCTTTTTTAAGTGGGCTTATCAAGGAGAATACCTTAATAAGGAGAAATAGCAGTGAGTTGGAGAGAATATGGGTGGGTGAATCATTCTAAAAGCCAAGATGTGAAAGAACAAAGAAGCTAAAAAAAGTATGTTAAAAATTATTCACATCCTTATTCTAATGCCTCTTCACTGTCCTAGCCTTAATTTGGATTCCGCTATAATTACGGTACGATTAAATTTATCGAATCATCAAATAAATTTTAATAAAATTTATTTAATATAAAATTTTTAATAATTTTTTTAATTATAATTACCATAATTTTTATTGTTATTTTTAATTTTACGAAACTAATTTCATCATTCATCTAAATAAAATCTTGATCTATTTATTTTTGTCTCAAGCTTGAATTCCTAACAATATAATGTATAGTAATATTTTAATAATACATGTAAATGATAAAAAAAAAATTTTAATTTTGACATACCTTATTGTAATTCTTTTATATTATTATAAATTAAAAAAATTGTAATCCAATATCAGAACATGAAATGATAATATAAGTAATAATATTATTTTGTGGGATATATAATAATAAAACGAGTACTTTTGTTAAAAATTATATAATTATGAGAAACGATTGTGGATTGTTTTCAAATTATTAGTCGATGCCAAGCTTGACCTACATATTCACGATAAAGATGTTAATTTTATTCATATTTAATAAAAAATTTAATTTTTTACTTAAACGGAGATAAACATAAATATTGTATTATGGGTATAAAGATGAAAATAAGTATAATTTAAATTTTTTATTTGGTACGAAAGTGGAGATGGATAATATAATATTTATCTTATACTCATACCTTATATATATATTTATACATATTTAATATATAGATTTTTTATTAAATAATATAAATTATTATTTTAAATTAATTAAAATTAATATATTTTTATTAAAAAAATATATTAATATATATTTATAAAAATTATCTAAATATATAAAATAAAAATTAAAATAATTTTAGTTTTTAATTTTTTTTAAAGCTATGGGTATGGGGAATCCCCATACCCATTAAATATTGACGTAAATAAAAATAAAAATAAATTTAAGATATCAATTAAATATGAATACGAGAACGTGTATAATATAAAAATTAATAGGATGAAAATTATTTTAATCTGTGCATACCTTACCCATTAACATCTAAATGCTCTCAAAAAATGAAAAATAATAAAATTTGAAGAAAATTTTTGTTAAATGTTCTCAAAATTTTTTCTTGAACACCCCCAAATAGTAAAAATTTAAAATAAAATTTTACCTAAATACCTCAAAAAATTTTTAGACACACTTTTTATCAGTAAAATCATTAAATCTATTGACATGAACATCTAAAAAAATTTTCTGAATCCGTCACTTTCGTCATTGCGGATCCTACTTCGTCAATGTGTGTGAATTTTTTATAGGTTATATAAGAATTTCACAGTAGGTTGAAATCAGCTAAATTTTAATTATTGATGTGTTCTTTTGGGAAAAAAAATACAAAAGTGGACAGACAAAAACAAAAGAGAAACTTTGTGGTACTCTTGAGAGCAACCAATCCTTTCCAAGTTGTCACCATGTTTGGTTTTAATTCAGAGGAATACTTGGGACAATGATTGATAAATATGGCTATTTTTCCCCATTTCTGATGAAAGATGAAACTTTGGTCTCATATGCAGAAAAAAACGACTCTTTCACCAATTTGTTGAAACTTTCTTTTCACAATTTACATCACAAGGTTGCAATGTTTTCACAGATATTTCCATGGTTTTTTTTTTTTTTTGAATGATCATCAGAGGTTAAAATATTTAAAAACCAAATAATCTATGCAGGTTATTGATCAAATCATAGGATCAGCAAGAATTTAAATCAATTAAATGCATAACATTAGAGGATTGTGATTAAATAAAAAGTTAGACCAAGTCCATGAGGATAAACTTGACTTGTATTTCAAATCTATAGGATCCTCCAATCTCATCACACTGAAAAAACACAAGGATGCTGAATCACAGAAAAGAATTTAGAGGTTTCATTATTGTTATAGGTGGAAGGCACAGAAACAAAATCTAAACAAATATTATGAAGTCATGTAATAAAGTTGAGATATATTTTGTGAAAAATAATGGTTACATCTGTACATTGACATATTCATGTTGAGATGTGTCATGCACAACTGACTCAAAGAATTAACTTAGCTCACTCCCATAAGCTCAGTGGAAGATTCCCTTTCTGCTGCAAGAATATAATCTACTGTTTATGTGAATATCCGGTATTGGAAGGCATACCTGGTATGTTGAGATTCCAGAATAATATCCATGCTTGCAACTTGCAAGTGAGGCTCCAAGAATAAACATTATTAGATTTTCCTGATGAGGTTTAGCCTGTTCTAAGAATAAAGAAAGCTCCTGCTTAGACTGAAAAAAAACTTGCCCTTCTCTGGTTCTCCCATTGTTGTCTTGATTATAGTTGACATGCCTGCACCATACAAAAGTATTAACACGGGCTCGATACTCACTAATCCATTTAAACAAGTCTTCCATATATGATATGTCCTAGTTGCATGATATAAACACTGACCTCGGCATAGGATGTAAATTTCCAATTTATGAGTCTAACTTCAAGCTGAGGATTTTAGTCATTCAAAATAATGATCTTTACACAAATTTCACACATTTCTGACCTGAATCAAACTGTGAGCTGGTGCTTTCTGCAATCCAATTTCATTTATTATACGTCTCATATTTTCTGCATCTTTCCACCTTCCAACTGCAGAATAAATTTTTGCCATCAACACATAATTTCCTGTGTTCTCTGGCTCCAGCTCAAAAAGCCACTTTGCAGCAATCTCCCCCAACTCAACATTCTCATGAATTACACAAGCACCAAGCAATGCACCCCAAACAGCATGGCTAGGTGCAAATGGCATTGTTCTAATGATATCATAAGCTTCAGCTGGTCTACCAGAACGACCAAGAAGGTCAACAATGCAAGTATAATGATCAACTTGAGGGCTTATTTGGTGGTTTCTAAGCATGAATTTGAATAAATCCAAACCTTCATCCACCAAACCAGAGTGGCTGCAAGCATGCAGCACAGAAGTGAAAGTAACTTCATTAGGCTTTACCCCAGCTCGAACCATTTCTTTGAAAAGTGAAACAGCAATCTCGCCATGCCCATGTGCTCCATAACAAGCTATTATCACACTCCATAGATAAATGTCCTTGTTCTCGTTGGGTATCCCATTAAAGATCTTGTGAGCAGATTCTAAACTACAGCATTTAGAATATATATCAACCACTGCAGTAGCAATTTCACTGTTTGACAATAATCCAGACTTTATCAGGTAAGAATGCATGTTCCTTGCTTGCTGTAAATCTGCATGGATGGCATATGCAGGTAGAAAACTCTTCAAGGTAGCATCATCAGGTTTCACACCTTCCATCAGCATTTCTTTAAAAAATTTTATTGCTTCATTTCCAAGTCTATTATGAATGCACCCAGCGAGAATCGCATTCCATGGAACCGTTTTCTTTTTTGAAGTTCTCTTGAAAACTTGGAAGCTAAGTTCAAAATTATTGCATTTAGCATACATATCAATCAATGATGTCTCCACCATAACATCGGACTCAAGTTTTTGTCTTATTGCCCAACCATGCAAACACCTACCATCCATTAAATTCTTCGACTCACCACAAGCCGAAAGAAGAGATGCTAGGGTAACTGAATTAGGTCTCACACCTTCAAGTACCATCAAGAAGCAGAGTCTCAATGCAGCTCTTACGTCACCGTTTAAAATATACACATTGATCAAAGAAGTCCAAGTCACCACATCCTTCTCAACCATACTATCAAAAACCAACATCGCTTCCTCCATACTCCCACACTTTGCAAACATATCTATCAGTGCATTCCTCACTACTATTTCCTTCCCCCAACCATTCTTTTTCACCAACTCATAAACCCTTCTTCCCACCTGTAGTTCCTTCAAAAATCCGCAAACAGGCAGAACCGAAACCACAGTAGCACAATCCATTTCCACCTCATCATCCGCCATCTTATTAAAAATCCCCAAAGCTTCCTCTGCACATCCATTTTTAAAGTACCCACTAATCATTGAATTCCATGAAACCACATTAGGCTTCCACATAGAATCAAAAACTTTCCCTCCTTCCTCTTTCTTCCTACAATTCATATACATTGTCAACAAAGAATTCATCACAAAACTATCCCTTTCAAAACCACCCGTCAAAACTCTCCCATGAACTACCCCACCAAAATCAACCAGCTTTTCTTCCCCAATAGCCTTAAAAACAAAAGGGTAAGTATAGTTATCTGCCATGCATTTCCCCAAGTTAACCATCTCAACAAACAAATTTAGTGTTTCCAAATAAAACCCATTTTTGGTGTACATTCTCAACATCATGTTATGTGAAAACAAGGTTGGTTGAGGCATTTCATCGAACAGTTTGCGAGCATTTCCGATATGGCCGCAGTTTGCGTAGGAAACGGAAAGGTCTGAGCGGAGATGGGGGCAGAGGAGGCCTGAGGTTATGGCTAAGGCATGGAGTTGGGTGGTTTTGGTGAGGGATTTAGCGGCTGTGTATTGTTTGCCCTTGGACAAGACCAGAAATTGGCCATTCATTAAGTCTGGTTTTTCTGTAAGTACTACGCCCTTTTTTTTTGGTCTGAAAAATAATGTTTTACTTTGGGAAATTTATGTTTCTATTTATAGCAATTAAAATTTCAAACCATAAAAAAAAATGGGAATTGGTATAATAGTGAAAGTATTAAATGAAAGAGTAAAGGTTGTATGAGACTTTTGGCAAAAAAAAAAAAAACAAGTTGAATGAGAGTGGGAGAGTTTAGACTTATCAAAAATTTTTTTTTTAAACTCATGTTTTTAACCGGTGGACCTTTACTATGATTGATTAATTATAATATATAAATGATATAGATCTGGCCTCCAGGTAAGTCCCACTGCATTTTCAAAGCCCTGCAAAAGTCATGGCCCCTCACCATCACCACCACCTCTGCTCCACCTGCTTTAGCAGCCAATGCTGCCAACCACCATCACCTCCACACGCCCAGCAATCTGACCATCTTCTGCTAGCCCTTGCTTCTCTCCTTCTCCAAAGCCAACCCTACAATCCCAACAAAATCATTATCTAAATCAAAATCAAACCCATTTTCTCAAAACATTCCAAGATCAAAACTTTGCCAGTAAAAAACTTCATTTTCATCAGAAGCAACACCACCAAGAAGAGCCTAACTTTCTCCTGTCTTCAATTGTCAGCCGCATCAGTGCTCTTGAATCGTCATCCAACACTTTTCCAGAACTTCAAACTTTTGTTCTTACCCTTCAGGTTCTCTTAAAGACGCAGCTGCACGTATCATCCAAACCCATTTCGCAGATTTCCTCGTTCATAGATCAAGAACACTTAGACACAGCTCAAAGATCTTGCATTTATCAAATCAAGTCTCAATATAAAACCCATTTTTACCGTGAAGCTGTTTCTGCAAAAGATATAGACAGCGCCATTATGAGGGATTATAGATCTTTATTGGTTCTTCCATGTTGCCACTCTCATTGTTAGTTCAGATTGATGAGAAAGTGCACCATGGAGGTGTCCTTGAGGCCCCCTGCAGCCACCTACTGGTTTGTTTGTAGTAAATTTCTGTCCTACTGGAAGGGTTGATTAATTTTCTGTAACTTGCTCCCGATTGGGTGTCTCGTGTTATCTAAACTGAATTGTCATTTTTGTTATCTAAACTGAATTGTTATTCTTTCATTGTCTCATGTCTTCACAAGCATTGTTCCATGTCAACTAGGATTCGAACCTTGAACCTCAATCTTCCCAAGGGCAACAATCAACCTTGAATTGTTAAGGATTTGAACAATGAGAGAGACAATATCATAAAAGGCTAAAAAGAAACAAAAAAATGCAAGCATTTTTAAGCATAGAATCATGCCACCGGCCATCCAAACATACTGCAAAAGAGTAATGCTCAGCACAATAAAACCACCAAACTTCACTATAAAGGATCTGAAAGAAAACAAATAAACTATATCGTTCACCTTTAGTACAGACAATATACAAGTTAACACATTTTTTGTTTCAATTGAAAAAAAAAAAAACCTTTATCTCGAGAAGAACATCAGATCCCACGCAGATTGATCTGCTTTGCTGAGCAAACAATTGAAAATTGTTTTCCTACAAAAGCAAAACAACCCTGTAAATGTTAAAAGTACTCACTAAAGTTCAGCATAAACTCGTGCGTAAATTATAGTTGAAAATGTTAATCTCACCTTTGAAGGGCTTCCTCTTGCATCCTTCAACCACAAGCAAGAATGATTATCATATACGGGCACTTACAATTAGTGCATATACTAACTCTAGTTGATGACTATTCTGATGATTGTTTGGCGATATTATTTTCTGCGAAGGAATCTCTCATTTTAGCTTGCTGGTGGTCTGCGAGATTGATTAATTCTAATGAACCATCTACCTGATTAGCAACTGTGGTGTTTTCGTCCTCATAGTTGGTGCTGGCCACAGTCTCTAGTTTCCAGGCATTTATAGCATTTTTCTTAGCATTAACAATTTTAATTCTAGCCTCCCTCAAGGCATTTACTGCTACCTTGAAGCTATGGTCAGATGCCATCCCCTCTTCTGCACATTTGACGGCTTCTCGATACAAAAGGTTGTACTGTGAGTTCTTCCCCTTCTGGGGATTGCCATGCATCTCAACAGACGGTACTTCATCCAACATGGCCTCATCCTTAGCATTTCTAGTCCATCGTTTTAAAATATAATGTTGAGGAAGCAAGAAGATATTAGTTGCTTTGAACACGGCAATCACATGTCTGCAGAGGATCCCTTCAAACTCAAACATCTTGCAACTACAACTAGCTATCTGCTCAACCATATTTAATCCTACCAGGTGTACTTTATGTTCTTCGTCAAATCTTGCTACCTCATATGTCTTTGATAATCCATCTTCTTGACTTAATTTCACAGCAAGCACAAGAGATTCATAAATTTCATCCTGGAATAGTGAGAACAATTTTCTGGTGTAAACTTGTGCTGCTTGTATTTCCATAGGAAGTGGTGTCTTTAAAACTGGTTTAGTGTAAAAAGTTTCAAACTCTGCCCTTACTTCCTTCTCATATCGATCATTCAGAGCCTGCTCGTATTGCTCTGCAAAATCCTGTAACGTAGTCCCAGCATTTACATAGCCATCAAATAGTGAGTTGACACTTTTGCTTCTCCAGGTGGAATACAAGCCAGCAAAGAATGAGTCCCTCACATATGTTGGTACCCATAACTTGCGATCAATATAAAGGGATTGAAGCCATTCATTTCCTCTAAGACTGTACTTATCAAGAAGCAACTGCCAAGCAGATTCAAATTCTTCAGGTATCTCACTCTTGTTAATGCATTTGTCAAACTGTACTTGAAATGCCTTTGGGAGTGAACTGTATACAAGTCCTACTTCCTTTGGCATTTTGCTCAGGATGTGCCACTTGCAATATCGATGGCTTGACTGTGGGAAAACGCTTTCTACTGCTCTAGTAATGGCAGAATCATAATCAGTTACAATTAGACCTGGCTGATGCCCGGACATTGCCTCAAGCCAAGTTGTGAAAAGCCAAATGAAAGTAGATTCAGTTTCATCTGCTAGTAATGCACAACCAAACAATACTGACTGCCTATAATGATTTACTCCAATGAAAGGTGCAAATGGCATTTTATATTGATTCACTAGGTAAGTGGTGTCAAAAGATAGAACATCAGAGAAACAATTATAAGCAATTCTTGATCTTGTGTCAACCCAAAAAACACTACTGAGGCGATCTTCCTCATCAACCTGAATAGCATAATAAAATGCAGGATCACTAGTTTGCATAACCTTAAAGAACCCAATCAAACTTTGTGCATCTACCCCAAAATTGCTTAACCTTCCTCTTCCAGTAAAGTTAACTTTATTTTGTGCAGCAAATCCCAATTTGCCAAAACTGTTACCTTCTTCAGTCAATATGTTCACAGAAGCATTCACACCCACTCCCAAGAAACTGATAGAGTCACTCGGACTTTTCTTTGGATCATCCTCTTCCTTACGTGACCGAAGGAAATGCCTCATTGCCGGAGTCACAAGCTCATGGTTATGATTTTTCTCCAACTTAGCCACATACCACTTTCCATTATCCCGTCTCCTGACAGTCATTAATGCCTTGCAACCCTCTCTTGTAATAGGCCTAACACGCCTCCTCTTTGTATCATCTCCTGAATCCACATTTCTAGAACGTTTCTCCCGGCGAAACCCTTCTTTGGAACAACAAAATTCTCTAGATATAATCGAATTATCTTTCTTTGATCGATAATAGGAATTCACACGAATACTAAAACCCATCTGCTTAGCATATGCATTGTAAAAATTCCTAGCATCATCCTCAGAAGTAAACTCCATTCCTAATGTAGGCTCTAACCCACCACCAACTGAGTGTTGAGAAAACTCAAGGTTCAACTGTTCGTCCTCCTTTCCATGGTCATCCGAAACCATATGATTCTCATTATCTTCTACCACACAACAGCCATCACCTTCATCTTCCAAACCCACATATGAGTCCACAATTTCTTTACCTTCACTAGAAGGTTCTTCTTCCATATTATTTTCTCAATCCTGTCAAATAAATCATTTGCTACTCTTTTAATTCTCATGTTCATAAATGAAGTTAAACAAAAGCTTTTTAACTTATAATGCAATAACCCAAAAAGTTTGTTTCATGGCCTGCTAGTTGCAAGCTTAACAATTTCCTCTCTTTTTTCCCCTTAAGTTTGATTATGTGAAAATTCATCGGACATGAGTTTCACAAAGTGAGATAAAGCTCTATTTTCATCCCACAAATCCCAGTCTCCTGATCCTGAGGTTTGGTCCTAATACTTTGAAGTTGAAACTTCTAAGTACTAACAGCTGGTTACTCCTTGGACAATAGAATTTTTCATTATTTGATTTGAACCCAAAACTCCAAGTTAAAATTCATAAACCTGAACTCGAGACTTAATTTAGTTAGTTCATATAGCCATCATCGTTAATAGATGACATCCAACAAATCTAAAATTCAAATCTGAATACCTACAGCTCCTATCCCTTTCCCTAGGCTACGAACTCCTTGAAGAAAAAATTCATAAACCCCACTCTCCCCATCCCAAAATTTGATCGTAGTACTTCTCAACTTGAAACTTCTAAGTACTAAAAGCTGGTTATTCCTTGGACAATGGGATTTTTCATTATCTGATTTGAACCTAAAGCTTGCAAGAAAATCTTAAATTCTACCCTGAGATGTCCCTCCAAACATAACCAATTTTCATTCTTAAAAATATATAAAAATCAAGTCAATTCTATAAACTATCATAGCAAAGTACAAAAGAGAAACAAAGCTATGACAAAGCAACATTCTCGCATTCTGGGGGCAATTAATAAAGAAAAAACAAAGCTTTGAATACCATGAAAAGAAAAACCCATAAAAATTAAAGGATGAAAATAGAAACTAACATAAACCCAGAAAGCTAAACCAATGAAAAACCATATATCCATCGGCTTTTTTTGTTTTTTCTTATTTCTTGAATTGGGATTTTCTAATTTTTTTTCTTTTTTAATTTGAACTTGAAATTCATTTTGGGTAATTAAATAAAAGAAAATAAAAGGCAAAAGAAATTTTGATATACCTTTCTGTTTAAGGCTTAAGGAGGGATGAGGATGCCGCCCCGGACCGGAAGAAATGAGGGGACGCAAATAACCGTCTGCTTTCGCTGCTTTCGTAGATGAATTCGTGTGTGTATTACTGGCCGTTGGATCGGTGCTTTTGAACGTCTAACGGTGTTGATGTTTCTTTTGTAGGCTGTAACTGTTATGCAAGAAGAATTCAATACTTCATTTAAATCAAATTGTAAATATTATCGCATTGCATAATGTAAAATTTTAGGAGCATGGTTTGGTTAATTTAATTAATTTTTAATTAAATTATTTAAAATTATTTTATTTTTTTTTATCAATTAAATAGAATAAGTTAGTTTTTAAATTAATTGATCGAATTAAATTTCATTGATTTAATTAATTTTTTTAATTAATTGAATAATAAATATATTTAAAATAAATTGTATTTTAAATTTTTAATTTTTTTAATTTAAGATAAATTAAATAAAATCATCCAATGAAATATTAAATACTAAATTATTAGGTTAAAATTTTAAAAGTTTTTAAAATAAAATTATTTGTTTATATATTTTTAATTTTATATTTAAATTTTATTATATTTCGATTAAAATTTTGATTAATTTAATTTTAGAATCGAATTAATTGAAAGTTAAAATTTTTTTTAAAATTTTTTTTATGATCGATTAAAATTAATTTGATAATCAATTAATTAATTAAAATAAATTGATCAATTTGATTAAAATAAAATTTTAATCATTTTTTAAAAACTCAATGCCAAAATGCTAAAAGTTACATAATCCATTAATAAATTATAAATTTTTTTTGTTTTAACTATTAAAATTTAAATTTTGATAATTTTAAGTGTTAAAAAAATGAATAAAATACATTAATCACTCAATTATCTAGATATTTTAATAATCACCAAACTATTAATTTTTTTTATTTAATCATTAACGTTTGAATAAATATTTTTTAGATCCAACGTTAATATCTAATAGATTTTTGACGAGACATGCCCATATATGATGTAGGAAACAATTTGACATGTCCGTGTCAAAAAAAAAAAAAAATTGCCATGTGAGATTGGGCTGGGTAAACAAACACTATTCTTTTTAATTCCTTCTTTTTTTCATTTCCTTCATTTCTATTTTTCTTTTTTTTTTCTTGCTAAAATTTGCTATTTTATATAAACAATAAAAACCAAAATTTCCCTTCTTTTCTTTCTACAAATCATACTTCTTTCCATTCTCTCCAACTTCTCTGACCTTTGAATCAGAAACAATCGTTTTTTAAGAATGTGATGACTTCTTATTTCCAGCACCGCCTTGTATCACCAATCATCGCAGTTCATCGACGGTTAAAAAACACGTAAAGTTCCTTTTCGATTCCTCTTCACCTTTCTGAAACTTTAGTAAGCTTTGATTTTTGAAAATCCTTTCAAAATGTCTTAGATCTAGATCAAAAGTTCCCCACCGCCAAGACCACCATCACCTTTCCGAATGCCCAATTTCCCTTCCTTCTTCCACTTCTTTTCTTCGATCTAGAACCCTAACAAGAAACCTTAAACAACTAAGCTGAGATTTTAAAGTACCCATCACAACTCCACTGTTTTCTATTACTTGAAAAGCCCAAAACCATAAATACAAAAAATTCTCTAGAAAAACCCAAAATAAAACTCTTAGAATTCCCTTTTTTACGCTGCTAATTTTCTTTGTGAATTCTGTTATGAATGACACTTGACTACTGAATATTGTGTTTGTGGATTATTGTTTATTATGGCTCTATTGTGTAATTTTTTGGGTGAATTGATAGTTGATTCCCAAAATTTGTTGTTGATAGTGTCAACCAGTTGTAACTTTGTTTGTGTTGAGGCTCTTTGTAGTATGATTGAAAATTGAATTTGCTTCTCTTAGGGACCTGTTTTTTTCAAACTGCTCCAATGATTGTTGTTGGATTATTAGAGAGAAAAACTAAAAAGAAGGCAGTGAGAACGAGGAGGAAAGAGAAGAGAAAAGAAAAAAGTGAAAAGAAACTGACTTTTTTATATGTGGTCAGCTAATGTCGCATATCGGTCAGCAGATTCTGTTAGACATTAAAAAAAAATTACTTATTCATTCGTTGGTGACTAAATCAATAAATTTAATAATTTGGTGACCATTTTAAAAGGATTCATATGGTTGAGCGATCATCGATGTATTTTATCCAAAGTTGTCATATGAGTTGGGCGGCTTATGACACGATGTAATTTGGCATAGTATGAGCCTTGCTTCACATGGTCTATTATTAAATATGCGAACTGGATCAAGCATGATATATACATGAGTGCAGCGAGGTTAGAAAATTTTAAATATATGAGTCAGCATGGCATGACCTATTAAGGGTCAATGTCAGTATGTGATACGTGGGTTGATACAATATGATATATAAGCTTAAATATGTCATACCATGCTAATTCATAACTATTACGAAGGGTTTTTAGTATTTAAGTACATTATTGTTATTTTTATATTATAATGAAATTATATTTATTTTTTGGTAATTTATAAAATAAGATTATATTAAATAAATTTACTTATTAAATATTTTAATTTATGATAAATGAATTATAAATGATTTTAGTGTGAACTATTTGATGTATGGATTACTTTTATTTATTTAAATTTGTATGTATAAAAACAAATTAACATTATTTTCAAAGTTATTTGATTAAAATTTTTAAACTTATAATATATATAAAAATATTTTAGTTGTAAAACAAAACGTGGGAATGATTAACTGAAAAGGTGTAAGAGTAAACATGAGATTGCATCTACTACTTCTAATGATCCAATACAAGCTACACTTAGTCTAGCATCCTAATAGGTTTTTAGGTATATTTTATTTTTCACAATGTAATCAATTGGCTAAATTTATAATGCAATTTGAACAATCATTTATTTTTATAGATGATAAATGTTTTAATTAAAAAAGTATACTACTGATTATAAAATAATTTCAAGAAATATTGATAGATCATATGCTTTTTGACATATTTTTTCTTATAAAGCAAATTTAATATATAGTTTATAAAAAATTTCCTTCATAATTTCATTTACTTATGATATTGGACCAATTGACAAAACCTTAGTTCTATATGTATTATTGAATATTTGATAAATGATTTGTATCTATTTCTTTAAAAATTATTAAGATTGTAATTTTAATATTTTTATTTAGTAGATTATATTATCCATTTTTGTTGATATAGATATTTTGTCGAATCATGTAAATTATGTATCATTTTTATTTTATTTTGCATTTATTTTCTCATAAATATTATTTTTAATAATAATAGATGAAAATTTTTAAAAATAATAAAAATTCTAAAAAAGAATTAATGGCTTGTGTTTGGCTCATCTTGGTATAAAAAATAATATTGTGCCTAACTCAGCATGACCCAAAAAAAGTACAAGCTATGTGTTGTGCTGTGCTGAGTTGTACCTTTAATTTTCATAGGTCATACCAGTACAACACGTTGAAAAAATAGTATTAAATCAACATGATCCATTAATATATATGAGCTAATATTTAAATGAATTGCATCGACTTGATCTAGCCATTTGTGTTTTCGTGCCGTATTTGACATGTGTAAAGATATAAATTATTAAAATACAAATCAGATATGAATTATAAAATGTGTTTAAATTTTAAATATAAATACGATAAGTTTAATATATGTTACATGTGACATTACACGATTAATACATATATAATTAATTATTTTAAATACGATACGAATAAATACGAATAATATGGATATATACTAATGACATTACTAATACGAATATACATAAATAGATAAGATCAATACGAATATATACAAGAACACAACTAAAAAAATATATATTTATAAACTATCTATTATTTAGAGCTTAATAAATTTAGCATATTAATAATATAAAAAAGTACTTACATTTTAAAAAAATTAAAAAATTAATACTTATTTAATATATATTTAATACATATATATATTTAAATGTTAATTTGTATTATATAATTATATTAATTTTTAATATCAAATTCAAAATGATAATTTATTAAAGATTAAATAATAAGATAATAATGTATAGGACTAATAATTATTAAATGAGTATCATAATTAAATATTTTAAATAATTTTTATACAAAATAAAATATCTAATTAAGTATTATAATTAAAAGATTAAAAATTAAAATAATCTTTATACATTTATATTAAATTAAAATAAATATAAAAAATATATTAAATGTGTTAAATATATTAAATGTACACTCATATAATAAAATTAAATTAAATATGCTATTCGTATCGTGTTACGTGTTTAAATGAATTAACACATATATAATACGAATTATATTATATTAAAATTTATATTAACACAAATAAATATAAAATATATTTTTAAATATATATGTATAATTTTTTTAATTATTTTTATATTATATCATTATATTATATTTAAATTTATCAAATTTAATATCGATTTAACACGAAGCTTTTGACACCTCTAATTTTGCTCAAAAAAAAAAATTCAAGAATCATGTTTGTTAAGGATTGGAAAAAATTATGCCACCACTACCGATCGACAACCTAGACTTCAATCAATTCACATGTCATTTCATTCCATTCTAGTAATTTCCCTTGACACCCTTCCAAATCTTTCAAACTCACCAATTGGTTTTGCCAATATGTCCGAATGATTCCCAACATAATACTGGGGCTTTAAAAAAAAAAAATCTCCAAGAAATGAGCTCAATTGATAACATAGACACAACACACCGTATAACAACCTCGACAAATCAAGAATATCCAATCAGATGCTTACAAGTGGACGGAGAAGAACTACCTGACACCCTTTCGATTCCTATTCTTTTTTGGACTTTTTCTTGTTAGGAAAAAAAATCTCACTGCAACTAAAATCTTCTTCTCCCGCTACCAAAACAGAAACTTAAACTCCGCCACTCAAATTATCCCACGTCACCAAGGAAAAAACTATTCTCTATAGAACCAATCAAAGATAGCCAAGTGTACGGTGACGAAGCAGAAAAAAAGGTATGATTTTACGTAATCCGAACTCCCATAATCAGTAAGATGAATTATCTTCCACGTGGATCAATTAATACTGCCAGGTGGAAAACAAAGAAAATGAAAATTTATTTTGATAGCAGGCGATTGTAACTCCATGCATATTATAATTCTCGTGAATCGGTCATTTCCCTCTTCAGTCGATACCGCCACCTTGATCTTTTCAGTCTTCTTCACAAAGTTCAAAGAGAGATGGCTACGTGGCGATTTTCAACGACGTCGAGCGGAGCGGAAGCGGTTTCGAGCTGCTATGCGGTGGCTAGATTTATCGACTTCAGCCGCGGAAGAAATGGCGGCGTTGACGGTAGCGGTGGTGTACGTAGAAGCGGAAACAAAGCGAAGCAGCTGATATTGATGAGGAAGTGGCAAGTTAGGCCGATGAGGAGGTCGTTTTCGGTGAGGAATGCGTCGAGTGAGCCGCAACAGAAGGTCAAAGATCCAATAACTGAAAAAGAAGGTTTGATCTCCTTTTTAGTATCTATATGTAGATGCTCTGTTTTTACTTTTACTTTTTCTTTTTCTTTTTCAAAATTTAATTTGTTCTTTTTATGTTTATTTGTTTTTCTCATTGAAAACTTGTGGACTTTGTTTTGAAGTTAATTTTTTATGTTAATGGTCGCTTCTGTTACATTCTTCTAAACTAAAATGAAATTTGCGATTTTGAATTTTATTTTGTTCTTTCATGGGCTTTTTATTATTTACGTGATATTCGTTACTTGGAAACATTAATTAATGATTATGAAGTTTTTAGTGTAATGATCAAGAATGAGATCTAAAGCATTATTTTACACACACACACACACACACACACACATATATATATATATATATAGAGAGAGAGAGAGAGAGAGAGAGTTTGAATGAGATTTTAGGTACCGACTCTTGCTGACTGTGAGATTTGGTTCTGTTTTTGCTTGATTGATTGTTATGAAAAAGAGAATTTTAGTAAAAAATAATTCTGATTGTTGGTATCTATTGATGTGCTAGGGTGGTAAGTTGGTAACAAGTCTCACTTTACCTTGTTAGCATTGAAAATGGATTGGAACCCACCATCTGGTTGATTATTAAGATATGAAATGGATCATAAGTCATGCGACCAGTTGATCTTAGCTATCTTAATTCCAATGAGTCATCCAAGATATTTGAAGCCTTCAAGTTCAACAGCTTATTGGAAAAAAAGAAAGCTTGCTTCTTAGAGGGTTGAGAACGTGTAATTAAGCTATATTCTTAGTTGCTGGTTAGCTAAAGAAGACATATCAGTTGTTGGGTTTGGATCCTTTTTTGATGCTGATATGGTAAGTGTCACGAATGAAACTATGGCTTATTGAGAAATGATCACAACACCAAAGTTTCTCAGAATGAGCTATATTTTTCATTTTATAATGAGCTAATTAAGTGCCAGATAATATGGGTAAAGCACCGGGACCAATCTAAACACAAAACTATAACTTGAAGATTACACCTTGTCAAGTCCTGTACAATCTAAGGCGGGGGCAAAATATCCTTAAGTTAGTTATTTTTATTTTTTCTCTATAAATTGAATTCGTATTCCACTGAACAACTATGGAATACGGTGAAATTTTGATATACTGCATTACGACGTCCTTCACTTTCCCATTTTTATTTTAACATTTATTCTTTGTCTTTTGATTTGGAATCTCTGAGCACTCTCAGTCCTTTCCTTTCAGATGCCTCATCTATTGCCTCTAGTATCAAATATCATGCAGAGTTCAACCCATTGTTTTCCCCTGAGAAATTTGATCTTCCAAAGGCTTTCTTTGCAACTGCACAAAGTATTCGTGATGCTCTCATTATAAACTGGAATACCACTTATGATTATTATGAAAAATTGAACCCAAAACAGGCATACTATTTGTCGATGGAATTTCTACAGGTTTGCACTTGTTCGACATTCAGTACTTGAATTTCTGTACATCACTTTGAAGATGTTATTATTTCAGCAGGTTTTGTTTCTTTTGTAGGGTCGGGCAATGTTGAATGCAATTGGTAATTTAGGGCTTACTGGAGGTTATGCAGAGGCTTTGAGCAAGCTTGGACACAACCTAGAAAATATAGCTTTCCAGGTTGGTTGGTTTATATAATTTTCTCTAGTTTACCTTAACCACACATTTTGATATTAGAAAATAATTGGGGAAGATAGAAGGCACTCCATACTGCTCCAGAATTAAATTTTAAGTGTTTTTCTTGAATTGAACTATAATGATTCAGTTATTAATGAATTTTCTGTTGTGTGAAAGCAGCGAGCTATTTAAAGGTAAAACTTTATTTGTTGAAGCCTATACCAGCTGCCATAGTGCCGTTGTCTAGAAATTTACAAACATTTTCCCTTAAGTTCTTTCTAAAATCCACCCTTTCTGATTCACTTCGTATATTTGTCAAAGAGAAAGATATAGAGGGAATCTTTTTGCTTGCCTTCACATTTTTGTTATGGTACCTAAATTCTTTGGTTGATATTATAGGAGCCTGATGCTGCCCTTGGGAATGGAGGTCTTGGTCGACTTGCCTCTTGCTTTTTGGACTCTTTGGCAACATTCGATTATCCAGCATGGGGTTATGGACTTAGATATAAGTATGGATTATTTAAACAGTGTATTACAAAAAATGGGCAGGAAGAAGTTGCTGAAGATTGGCTTGAGGTATATTTGCTCTTTGTTGTCTCTCTCTCTCTCTCTTTCTCTCTTGAAGCTATCATTGTAGACACAAATATGTGTATGTCTATAGGACTTAAATAATGGATATTAGTGTTCTGTTGCCTTGCTTCTCTGACCAACTTCTTATTTTTTCTTGAATATGGCTTCTCTTTTTAGATGAGCAATCCTTCGGAAATTGTGAGAAATGATGTCACATATCCTATCAAGTTCTACGGCAAGGTTGTTACAGACTCAGATGGAAAGAAACACTGGATTGGAGGGGAGGATATAAATGCTGTTGCATATGATGTCCCGATACCAGGATATAAAACTAAAACCACGATCAACCTGCGACTCTGGTCAACAAAAGCTCCGTCAGAAGACTTTGATCTATCTGCTTTTAATTCTGGGGAACATATCCAAGCAGCTAAGGCCCTATATAACGCCGAAAAGGTCGTTCTAATTTTTTTTTGTTGTATATATTTGCTTCTGACGATTTATTTGTTAATCTCTTCATAAGCCAAGCTATTTGTTGGCACATCTCTTCAGAGTTTAATCAGAAAATCTGAACTGCCTGAAGTTTTCTCTGGAGGAAAGTCTGAGCCAAGTTTGTTTACTGCTAAAGAAATACAACAAACAAAATTTCTAAAATGGTTCTTGTAACAGAGTGAACAAATCAACAGTTTTGGGAAATTGTTGGGTGGTTTCCTTCTTTAAAAAATCTCAACAATTTTAACTGCATTCTGTCTTGTCTCTGCATCATTTGTGTCCCCAATCACTCTAATGTTTGTTTCGATGTTGTGTTGATTTTTCATGTACAATTGATCCAAGTGGTGCAGTAAGGATGGCTTGGCTTATAACATTTTTTTTAATATCAGATTTGCTATGTACTCTACCCTGGGGATGAATCAATCGAAGGCAAAATCCTTCGTTTGAAGCAACAATATACCCTGTGCTCAGCCTCTCTACACGATATCATTGCACGTTTTGAAAGAAGATCAGGAACGAAGGTCAAATGGGAAGAATTTCCTGAGAAGGTTGCCGTGCAAATGAATGATACTCACCCCAGTCTTTGCATTCCAGAGTTGATGAGAATCTTGATTGATGTGAAAGGTTTAAGCTGGAAGGAGGCCTGGAATATCACCCAAAGGTACTCTTAAGTCATGGTTGTTTCACTTATGCATTGGCAAGTGTTTAATTTATTGCTTCTTTTCTAACATACTGCAAGAGGTTATTGAGAAGCTCAAGTCATACTCTGTGTTCCCCGCATTAAACCTATCTCTGCTGTTCCCAAATTTTGATCTATTCCAGTGTTCAATTTATTTGTTATGCATATGCTTTATTGTAATTTTTGTTACTTTAGTTTGATTCGATTCAGAATGTTTTCTTGTTACCAGTGCTCGTCCATGCTGACTGTTTGCGCTTCCTCACAATTTACTTATTTTAGTCTCAAATTCACTTTGTGTGTGATATTTTTTTTTTTTTGGAAAAAACTCAAAAAATTAGTATCTTCCCCTTCTATTTTCTTCTTTTTCTTTTCCCTATTTGTTAATTACTGATATTTATTCTTAACATGGTCTTATGTTTGGTAACTTGTATACCTTGTAATGCCCTTTTTTAGAACCATGGCATACACAAACCATACTGTTCTACCTGAGGCTTTGGAGAAATGGAGTTTAGAACTTATGGGGAAACTGTTGCCTCGACATGTGGAGATTATAGAAATGATTGATGAGGAGGTACAGATGGAACACATGCATAGACCAAGCTCTTCAATTTTTTGGAATTCCCATTATAACTCATATTTCTGCCTCTTAATACCTTTGCAGCTAATTCGCACCATAGTTTTGGAGTATGGTACAGCAGATTCTGACTTATTGGAGAAAAAGCTGAAGCAGATGAGAATTTTAGAAAACGTTGAGCTGCCGGCTGCTTTTTCAGATTTACTTGTTAGCCCCAAGGAAAGTCCTGTTGCTGTTCTCAAGAAGAGGAAGAAGAAGAAGAAGAAGAAGAAGAAAGAAGAAGAAGAAGTAGTTGAGCCTGCTGATGGAGAAAACGAACCTGTAAAGGAAAGCACTGAAGGGAAGAAAAAGATCCCAGAACCAGTACCAGAGCTCCCAAAGATGGTTCGTATGGCTAACCTATGTGTAGTAGGTGGTCATGCAGTAAATGGAGTTGCAGCGATACATAGCGAGATAGTAAAAGACGAAGTGTTTAATGATTTTTTTAAGGTAAACGCAATTTATAAAACCTTTTACTTTCTTTAATAGTAAAAGTATTTAACTTAATGATAAAATGGTTTCTTCAGTTTGTTTCTACCAAGCAAAATGATCCTATCATTGACCTCTGTGCTCAAATTTGGCAGTTATGGCCTGAAAAATTTCAAAATAAAACAAATGGGGTCACGCCAAGGAGATGGATCCGTTTTTGCAATCCGGACTTGAGTAAAATTATAACTAACTGGACAGGAACAGAAGATTGGGTTTTAAATACTGAAAAGTTGGCGGAACTTAGAAAGGTAGTCTGCCATATCTGATTCAAGCCTAGATCTAATATTTGTTATTATTTCACAGGTTAAGCAGTTGCTTGTGAAATTCAAGCGGTGTTGTTGTTTCATGTATTAGTCTAGGATTCTGATATATGTGAAGCTGTTGTATCTGTGTCTTTGTCTATAAAAAACACAAACTGAGCGGGTTTTTATGGTTAAGTTTGAATGACTATAAATATGAGAAAACTTCGGAACTTTTGGTTATTACTAAAGACCTAATCAGTGTTATGGGATATGTTCATAGTTTGCGGATAATGAGGATCTTCAGGCCCAGTGGAGGGCAGCCAAAAGGAGCAACAAGTTAAAGGCTGTGTCCTTCCTTAAAGAAAAGACGGGATATCTAGTAAGCCCTGATGCAATGTTTGACATCCAGGTGATTTCTGTTGTCAACTACTCTTTCTTAAAAAGTAATGAAAGAAGTGTACTTATCATCAGATGAAAATGAAGGCAGTTTTATCATGTTGGCAGAAAGTATATAATGTTCTCAATAAATGGATTGCAGTCTAAGAGCCTATGGATATTTTTTATGAATGATATGCAACCAGATTCTATTACCTCCAGAAGACAATGTTTTAGCTCACATTGAAGAGCATAATAGTGTCTGTTCTACAGTGTTTGTATGCAACAAATGTTATGAATATTTTTGGACCCTTGCAACAATTCTAGTCCTTTTATGACAGTTAGATCAGAATGCTTTGTGAAAGTATATTGTTATTAATTCCCCTCAGTCTTGTAAAGTGTGAAACTCATAGTTTTTTACGTACTACGTTGAATTTCAGGTGAAGCGCATCCACGAATACAAGCGTCAACTGCTGAATATTTTGGGAATTGTCTACCGGTACAAGATGATGAAAGAAATGAGTGCTTCGGAAAGAAAAGAAAAGTTTGTTCCACGTGTTTGTATATTTGGAGGAAAAGCATTTGCCACTTATGTGCAAGCCAAGAGAATTGTGAAATTTATTACTGATGTTGGAGCTACCGTTAATCATGACCCTGATATAGGCGATTTATTGAAGGTACATCTTTATTGCAAGATATCATTAATGAACCTCATATAGAGTTCTTTCCTGAAATGAAAAAAATAAAAGAAAACACGCCCTCACAATGTGTCATCTCTTACAGTTATTCCAGACTTTGGTTCACAGTTTACAATTTGGGAGGGCCTTTTTTCTTTGTTTTAAACCTAAATTCATAACTTTATTCCATACCTTGGTTATTTTTCCAGAATCTTGATCGTATCAGGGAGTTGATGGAAAAAAGGCCCTCGCAGAGTGGCATGAATGGGCCATGCTTGGACCTATGATCATAGCCCATTCATTCTACTCTGTGAGGGCCTTTTTCCATCAACTCCCTGATACAATCTAGCTTCTGGAAAATAACCGAAGTCTGGAATAAAGTTACAGATTTATGTTTACAAACAAATAGGGGAGCTTCGAATAAATCAAATCAGGACATGTAAGGGTTATGAATGGATTAAAAAAAGAACAAATATTTTTAATTTCCTTCTGCAAATTTGCTGTGTTAATAACTTACTCAATTACATCGACATCACTAATCAGATGTAATGGCTTATTATGTTCTAATTTTAGGTTGTTTTTGTTCCTGATTACAATGTGAGTGTGGCTGAATTGCTTATCCCTGCAAGTGAGCTATCACAACATATAAGGTATTTCAATTTAATTCATTGTATGGATAATTCTTGGTTACACTATGGTAAACTAGATGCAGAAGCAGGAAATGGTTCCTAGCTTACACTATAACTCCTATTTGGAATAGATCATCTACTTTATAGCTAGCGAAAGCCTAGGCTCAATCTGTTTGATGAAGCATCATGCATTATTTATCCTGTATTAACTTGGCTCAACTTCAATGCATGAAGGTTAATCGAGCTCAGTGAATGATGGTTCTGACTTAAAATGAATCCTATGTTTTTCTGATTTGCAATGAACTCAATGTATGCCTTTTCTAGGAAGCTTGTATTGCAAATTGATAGCAGAATACACACTAGGGCATCTGAACCTGCCTCTGTTTGATGTTGTTTTCCCTTTATTTTATGCAGTACTGCTGGGATGGAGGCAAGTGGAACCAGCAATATGAAGTTTGCAATGAATGGTTGCATTCTGATTGGGACCTTGGATGGTGCCAATGTTGAAATACGAGAAGAGGTCGGAGAAGACAACTTCTTCCTCTTTGGGGCTGAAGCTCACGAGATTCCAGGCCTTAGGAAGGAAAGAGCTGAGGGGAAGGTATGCTGCGTGGCCAGATTAGTTATTGGTTTTCTTTTGTTTTTCAATTCTTTACTTCTGGCCTTTCTGTTAAGAGAAGTACTATCATGATCGAAAGATATTGGCTAGGTGGAAATATACATAAAAATGTAAGGAAATATATTTAGTGAAAAATATCATGATTTTTCCTTAATTATTTCTCTTCATTGACCTAACTGACATCTTACAACAGTTTGTTCCAGATCCTCACTTCGAAGAAGTTAAGGAGTTTGTCAGAAGTGGTGTCTTCGGTCCTTACAACTATGATGAACTGATGGGATCATTAGAAGGAAATGAAGGTTTTGGTCGTGCAGATTTTTTCCTCGTTGGCAAGGACTTCCCTAGTTATATAGAATGCCAAGAGAAGGTCGATGAGGCATATAAAGACCAGCAAGTGAGTGACCTTTTTCCAATGCCCTCAGATTACACATTCTTGCATCGATCATCAAGAAAAAAGGGAACTACTGCATGCTTTTTTGCCAGTATTGTAATTGCAGTATTTTTTTCATCCCAATTTGATGCATATGATACGGTTAAAAACTAAAATGTCTCTTGCAACTGTCGTGCTTTTCCCTTCACACATGGCTTCGCAATTTTCTCACAACTGAAGGCACAAATATGTTTGTTCATGTGTTCCTAATGTTTGTGACTGTTGTTGTGGCAGAGATGGACAAGAATGTCAATCTTGAATACTGCTGGTTCATACAAATTCAGCAGTGACAGAACAATTCATGAATATGCCCGGGAGATATGGAACATAAAACCTGTCGAATTACCATAATTGCTGAGACTCTGTACCAAGTGAGTTGCCCTTTGCCGTAAAGCCTGTCAAATTATCATATTTTCTTTCCTATGTAAAGAAAAAAATGCAGGAATAAGTGTAATATTTATAAATGCGATAAAATTTATAAGTTTGGTTATTGCATTGTTGCAAAAGTTACTAAAACTCATCAACCTTGTTTATGTTCTTCCATGGCTTCTCAATTTCATGATTAAGAAATGGTGTACATTCTCTCTAGCCTCTGATAATAAAAGCCATATTCTGTTCTTTATATTGAATAGTGATGATCCAAAAAAATTCTAAGGTGTTCTAGTTTTATTAGTAAGTTAATTCTATATTTTCATTAATCCCAAGCAGGACAATCCAATATCTAACTCAACATCCATGTGTCAATAACTTGAAAATTATGCGGGGTGTGCACATGGCCTCACCAAGTGATTCACTGCTGGCCTCCATAATCATGAAATCCACGTTCTCCATTTTCTTCTAATCTGACAGATTTCCATCTGTGGATTACCCCCATCTTTGATACCCTCTCCTTCAATTCTTTCTGTCTATACTGCAATGCCAGATACAACAGTACCGAGAAGCAGACAATTAATGCAGTAACGCAAAACCCACTGATACCCTTAATCTGAAGGTTCAAGCCAGTTTGGTTCAGGTTCAATCAGCCTGATAGTATGCAGTGGTCTAGTTCAGCCACATTTCACAATCAGAGCATGCACCATCGGTAAAAGGCTTAATCAGTTTTGCACTATGGTTACTCATGTTTAGAAGAAGAATTTGTGCCAGTCAGCCATTCCAATTTCTGTTTTTCAAAAGAAAGAGAAGTCCCAATCACTTGTCAGAACCAAGAGACTGAGTGAGGGGCCAGCTTGGCCGGCAGGGCCTTTTGCTTTGGTGAACTTCAGTCGATGAAAGCTACAGCAGCTCCAGTTTGATTCAAAGTTTGGTGTCTTCAGGTTTCTAACCTAAGGATGATTTTGTTTATTACGAGCTAAAGGCAAATGAATATTTGCCTTGCAGCCAGCTAAGAACATTGATAACAAGGAAACAGGGACACACATGGGGAGGGAGCAATGAATTCATCTCATGAAACAAAATATATAACATTTTGTCATGTCAGATGACAAAGAGGTAAAATTGCTTTCATTTCATATTTTGTACATTCATCAGGCTCCTGTGATATGCTATCCTGTAAACATTCAACAACTGGAAAAGAATATATCTCACAGAGATCTAAATTTCTTCTATTCTTCAATATATGAAACAAAAGAATGATCGACCAAAAATGATATCGTTCAATCAAGATAGAGAAATGTTTCCGCCAACCAACTCCTACGGATCGAGGTCTATCAAAACTGAGTAAAAAGGGAGAAAAAGAAAATCATATTACAGTAAGATAGAAGTGAGTTAGTGCCAGTTTTAAGCTATAGGCAGCAAGGTCCTTCTCCAATATAAAGTACCATTGAAAACTGGAAGAAAAGCCACCAATGCATTGTGCTCTCCAGGAAATGAAAAATGAAACATTTGGCATCACCTTTCATCAGTTAGCAACTAGGCTTAATAGAGCCTCACTCTTGCAGTCACTGCCAACACGACATGACTTGAATCCGATGTCACCATTAGCCTCTTCATCGTGCATAACTGGGAGATTAAGATTAAGATCAGTAACATCAGAGATATCAGAAAATTTTAGCTGCTTTGCAGGCTGTTTGTCACTGGTTCCTGGTTCTTTCAAGATGTGAGACCTCTTGTGACCACCCAGAGCTTGCCCTGATGCAAAAACCTTGAAGCATATTCCGCACTTGTACACCTTATACACCCTTGTTCCATAACTTGTCACCCCATTCAATTCCCTCTCCACTGAATTCTCAACATACTCAACATTCACAAGCTTGCAACTAGCCTCAGTTTCAGGAGAACTGCCACTCTGAGTAATTTTCTCACGGTTCTCAATCTCCTCTATAGCATAGCTATTTCTCTTTCTGTGGATTGTTTGATGACCGCCAAGGGCATGATGAGATTTGAAAGTCTTGCTGCAGATCCTACACTTGTATTTGTTCTTTTTCTGGGAATCATCAGACATCTCAGAATTCAATGGAGTTCTTATTAGCTTGTTCAAAGAATCTCCTCCTGGTTCTGCATCACAAGCATCGAACATGGCATATTTACAAGAACTGGATTTTGTGGATCCCAAACCAGCTAAATCCAATCCTTCCATCCAATCCTGCCCTGGTTCTACTTCAGTAGATCTGAAGTTCATGATTTCACCAGAAATTCTTTCCTCAATTTCAGTATCATACAATTCAAATACAGATTCATCATCCACCTTAGTCACCTTGAATTCAACACCCCTGCAGAGCATGTCATTGGGAGCTTCTGATCCAACCTTCTTTTCCTTATCAGTTATAATCCCAGAATCCAATTCTTTATATTCACTTGTGTTTTTCTCATATACAACATTCATAGACGCAGAAGCATCAGAATCAGACTTAAACATTGCTAGCTTCTTCATCTGGAAAGACTTATCCCAATCACGAAAAGGATTCCCATTTTCTTTCTGCATAATTTCTTTATTTTGATGCAAAGATTTAATCTCAGAATCGTTATCGGAAGACTCCCTAAAAGAATTGAATTCACTCCAATTCCTTGCACCCCTAGACAGCATTATCAAAAATAAAGCAGCATCTACCACTTCTTGATCAATTTCAACCAAACCAGAAGATTCATTCAAGCTAGAAAGTGAAGAATTTGGAGCATTATTGTACCTCATTGTTTTTGATCTCTTTCTCCTCACTGTTATGCTCTCCAAGGCCAGCTCTTGCCTTGAACCACCAAACCCTGAATCACCTGAGACCCTAAGCTTTACAGGGTGTAACGTCATATGACCCTTAAGAGCCTTCAAAGACTGAAACTTTCTGCCACATTCTTGACAGTCAACTCTTTTCCTTTCTCTTCCAGAATGATGCCTCATATGACCAAACAAAGCTTTCTTTGACTCAAATTCTTTGCCACAAGCTTTGCACTGAAATTTCAGCGTTGAACTAGTAGTACCATCATCAGCAAAGCCCAAAGATTTCCAAGATTTCTTAGGGTTATCCCTCAAGCCATAACCTTGACAATCCATGTCGTCCATTACCTTTCTTTCACCTGAATTCTTTTCCATGAGAAAACTCACGTTACATAACTTGCACAAATGCTTCTCTTCAGTGCAGCTAAACAAAGAAGCCCAGATTAAAAACAAAAGCAAAAACGACCACTATCTTCAAAGAAGCAGAAGAAAAAGAGGGAAAAAGGTACGAACTGTAATACCCAGATCAAAAAGAAGGTTGCTTTAGTATCAAGAGATGGAAAATCTTGAACCTGAATGCAAGTAAAAAGGAACCATCGTCCTGTTTCTTTTAACCTGGTGGAGTTAAAAGTGTTGAACAATGTCTAGGTGGCTAAAAAACCTTGAACAACATTGGGTTTTGACTCTTACTTGGTATTTTTCACTTCGTATTGTTTGAACTAAGCAAGCAGAAGATCAAACTGAAACAGAGTTTTGGTTAAGTAGCTGTTGCTTTGATTGTAGAGACGCGAGAAATGACAGGAAAAAGAGAGAAAGATTTGCTTCTTGAAATCCTTGCATGTGAAGGAAGCTGCAAGGATGGAAAATACTTTGGATAAAATTTTATGGGGGAAGTTTATGAAGGTTTTTTTTTTTTAAAATTAAAATTAAAATATTAAAATATTTTATTTTATAAATTAAATTATAAAATTTGAAAAAAAATTTAATAAATTTTGATATATTTATTAAATAAATATTTTTAATAAAAATTTTGATAAAATTTTTATAATTAAATAAATATTGATAAAATTTAAATTATAAATAATAATTTTAATAATTTTTTATATATTACTAATTTTCACAATAAATTTATTTACAAATTCGTCTCGAAAGCTTTATCTAAAACTTACCCCACAATTAAAAGTAATTTATTGAAAAAAAATGGAATGCATGAAATTTGTAACTTTCCTTTTTCACATTTGAAAAAATCCACGTGCTCTAGAAGGTCATCAACGGCTAGGATTATTCCATCAGATCACCTTAGCGAGGTTAACGGGTAAATACACTGAAAACAACTGTATCCAACCGTTTCCACAATCCCATGATCTTAGGCTCTATTTGAATAAGCGATATGATTGATTAAATAAAAATGAAAATAATAATAAAATTTGTTGTAATTATAATTAAAAAAATTTTAATAAAAAATTTATATTGATTTAATTTTATTAAAATTAATATTTAAATTTAATTAAATATATAATAAATTTAGACGCACCATATAAAAAATGTGATGAAATTCAAAGGGGACTTACTAAAAAAAAAAGCACCTACTATTTTAGAACTTTCTTTGCTTAGAAATGGGTAGCAATCAAGTGTTGCCAAAAGCATTTTTTTTTTCTTTTTCAATAGACAATTGAATGTGGGATGGTTGGTCAACTTTGGGAAAATCATGAATTGATTTGGAAAATTAGGTTTAATAAATCAATATGAGATGGACCTTTAACAAACTTGATGCTTAAGGATGGGTTCACTTATTGGTGTTTTATGCATCTTGGAAACCACTACACCAAATTAAGATTAAACCTTTGCCATTCTTTCTATTTTCTTAGAAAAAGAAGTTTTTTTTTTTTAATTTTTGATTTTGAAGATATAAATCATACCATAACTCATTTTTATAATGATTTGATAAGGTTTTATATCATATATAAATATAAAAACCAAAGCCTCTAACAAAAAAGAAAATTTGATGTAAATAGTTTACATTTTTTTACATGTAAATAATCTAAAAAATTGACGTGTGTTAAAAATTAATTATGCATTTTAAAATTTAAATTTAATTGTAAATAAATTTAATTTAAAATATCTTATTCCCATTATTATAAAACACATTAAATGATTCTTATTAATATTTATTTTTAAATGATTAATTGATTAAAATAAATTAAGAACCAAATCAAGAGTAATAGTATCTTAAATTGAGAGTAATTTATATTTGATAATTAAAATAGTCAAGTATGATGTATATTTAATACGCTTAGAAAAAATGAAAAAAGAAAATTTGAAATTAATGTGATAATGATAATAAAATTAATTTGATTTGACATACTAAAATTAATTTTAATTGATTTGATCATTTGTTAATCATTTTAAAATCAATATATTAAATATATATATATATATAGCTTAAAAGGCGGAGCCAATAAATAATATTTTTTAAAAATTAGAAAGTATATTTTTTAATAAATATAATTCAAGAGTTAAATATTTATAATGAAAAAAGGGACAGCAAAATATTTTATTTATTAATAATGACAATCAAAGTTTTAGTACATTTCATATGAATTTAATGAGAGTGATTTAAGATAAATAATAAAAAAATAAATATAATCAATTTAAGTTTTTGAATTATTTTTTAAAATAAAAACATATCAAATAAAATAAAATACATTTATTAGAGGAAAATGGCATGTTTTTTAAACCGTCTATATGTCAATAATATAAATCATTCACATTGGACTTTTTTTTTGTCAGAAAACTTTGTCTTTTATATATTTAAATAAAATAATAAAATAAATTTAAATTTAAAATATTATTAGAAAATTAAATTTCAATTTTATATATTATCTTTATAATATTACAATGCTACATTAAATAGTGGACTTTCTACCATATGAGAAAAGAATTTAAATTACTTCCAATTAATTAATCTATATGAAAAAAATATTTTAAAAACTTATTACCTTTTAATTATTTGATGTTTGAGTAAAAGCTTATAATAATTGGAAATAATATAATCATATAAACAATTAATATATTTTTGTAAAAATAATTTATTAATTTCATTACTTTATTTAGACAAATTTCACTTATTATTAAATTAGTATTATCTAATATTGATTTGATTTTTATATTATGCAATTTTTATATTTATAATTTAGTATTAAATATAATATAAAAATAACTAACAACCAAGTAAATTATTGATATAATATTAATTCTTAATTACTGTGATCAAGATTCTAATTCTGATAACCTTAAATATTAAAAAAATATAATCTAAATATATCTATTACAATGCATGTACATAGAGTAGTTAATAAGTAAATATGAGCTTTTTAATAAAATTTTTTAAATTGATTATTAATGGTTATTTAACATATAAAAATATGATGATTGCAATCAAATTATTGGGTTTTTAATATATAAAAATTAAAAATTAAAAATTAAAATTAATTTTAACATATATTTCTTAGATTATAAAATTTTTAATATCTTTTGTTTGATAAATTCATAAAAAATTAAAATAACTTATTTTAGCATAAGTGATTATTTAATAAAAAAACACTATTGTTATGCATGGAAAGGTAAATTTAATAAAGTGAATTTGAATTTTATTTACTATCTAAATTATAAGAATAAAATATATGTAATATGCACAAATTAATAAAATTTAATATGATAATTTATTTAATTTGAAAGACATAAGAAAGTAAATTTCAAATTCATAAATACATATAAATATTTTAAATTCACTATTAAATAGACATCCAACAAATCTTTAAATTTAAAAAATAATTATAAAATAATGTTGATATTTATGTTTACTTTATCATACATTTTATACAAATTTTAAAATCCAAACATATTCTTTTAAATTTAAATTTCTAAACACAATCTATAGGTTATTGGAAAAAATAAAAATAAAATATACTCTTCAATTTTAAGTACAATTATATATAAAGAATTTTTTATACTTTAATTTTAAATTAAAATAACTATAACATATAAATTTAAAATTTAAAAAAAGATAATATTTTTAGAAACCTAATTCATTAAAAAAATTAGTTTAGTACTAAAAAATGAATAATGACTAAAATTAGGTGAACTACTTTTTATCGTATTTTAAAATTTAATAAATTTAAAATTTGAGATTTAATTTAATTGATCTGTGCTTTCTTTTGTTAAAAAAAATCAATGAATTTATCTATTACTCAAAAAATTAAATATTTAATTTAAGACTGAGTTTAAGTAATCATGAATTAAGTTTATATCAAAATTTACAAGTTGGAAAACATGAATGAAGAAATTTTCAAATGGAAATACTTGTTGCCATTACCCAAGTGGCCTCAATCACACAAATAAAGTGTTCTAAATGGTTCAACTCAATTAAACTCAATCTTTAATCCAACTTGTTGGCACTTGGTTACATCTATCTTCATCATTTTACCAACTAGGGTATTTTCTTACTAGGATTTTAAAAAAGAAACAAGACCCTTTCAATGCCCTTCAACTCATGTAATTCTTTAATTTTTGCTCTCTCTTTATACTCTTATATTAAAGATTGAAAGGGACTGGCTTTGTTTATATTATCTATTTTAATCATGATTATGTCATTAACTCATTATAGAGAGTAGTTTGTGATTTTATATCACAAACCCTTTGATTAGACCTCAATTGTTTTAAGTCCTTTTAAGATGAAGATTTGTGGGGTTCATAATTTGTTATTTTAAATCTAGAGGAGACTTTGCTGGTATTTCTTCCCCATGGCTAATATCTACTATTAACAAGCTGGCTAAACATAGATCAGATCAAAGAAACAGGTCTTGTTGGCCACATTGGAGATCAAACATAAAACAAGTTTGTCTTTTTTTTTTTTTTTATTTAGCATCAAGGGATTCTTAAATTTTATTTAGCACATCTTTTCTTAAAATCAGTTCAAGTAAGTTTATTTATGTTGGATTTAAAGAATTTATGAGAATGATCTTTCAACAAATTCAAATTTAGATAATAATAATAATAATAAAAAAAACCATCTCTTTACCACTTGAACAAATTATTGTTAGTTTAAAAAAAAATTATGTTTAGAGGCATAGATTACAAAGTTTGGAGTTTTGCATAACTTGGTTTCCTTATTGGAGAAGTCCAAATAGGCCAAACTAATAAAAGATTGATGGTAATGCAATAAGAATGTGGATATGAAGTTATATATCACTAATTATAAAGCAAGAAATCCCACATGTATTGGTCTAAGTATTGTTTTGACATTACACATTGCTATAATCTTCACTTAAGACCATCAAAATTGATGCTTAAATTGGAGAACTTGGCACCTTACATTAAAAGTTGACCACTCATTGTCTTATGCCCTCTCACATCATTAAAATGAAGATTTATGTGAGTGATTGGTTAATTAATCAAGTCATCCATCACCCATTTTTACGCAATTCTTTCGGTTAAGGAAAAATGAAATTAATTTTTTACCACTCAATTGTTGATCTTATCATAAATATGTAATCAACTGCTTACCAGAAAAAGAGAAACGAAAAAGATGTCATAAATGAGCTTTCAGCAAAAGCTTAAGCTAAGCTCAAGATGTCAGTTTCACGTCATCCTATTAAGACCAAAGTTGTCATTTATGTGTAACCAAGGAAAAATAAGTTATTATGTATCAAAATTTAATTCAATTAATTTATATAATTATTTATAAATAATGATATTTATTAGATTAAAAATTTAAATTTCAATGTGTATAATTTTTCTTGTATTCTCATACAACAACTTTTTTATTAAAAATAAATTTTCTGATAAGAAAAAAATTCAAAAATATCACGTTCAATTTTTTAGATCAAGATAAAATATATTATACCTAACAACTTAAAATAAATTACTGTAAATCATACATTCGAAATGACCCGAACAAAAGACACTCGAACTCAAGATCTCTCTTTAAAAAAAGACGAATCTTAACCAATTAAATCAATCATTTATTGATTAAAAAAAAATTATCATTTAAGAACTTGGATGCTTCTCATTGTTTATTCAGTAGCTTTCTACCTTAAATATGGCTCCAAAAGTCTCTGCATAACTGATCAATATTGGAGTAATTTCAGTCAAGAGGATAGAGCAACTTCCAACTAAACCATATGCATGTCCAGGGTTTGTGCAGCACTGCAGCCATAGAAGGCCACATAAGCATCAAGTGGGAACAAGATATCACACAATAAGGTCACTGATAGAGCATGGGCATTGCACAAAGAAAAATCCTGATTAGTTCTGGAAAAAGAAAGAAATTGTGTGAAGAAAGTATTCGGCTATCCGTCGGGCATGAATGAGCAAAACTGAAGCTTATTCTAGAAAGCATGTAAATGATTAAATTTGTAGCAAAGCTGTCTTTGCTTGAATAATACACTGCTAAACCAAATAAATAAATAAATAATAAAAAATAAGCAAGATAAACACAATCAACAGACTTGCAAAGACCAAATTAAATCAAATCAAGAGCTGAGATCCTTTTCTATTGGGATCCATTTTGGTGTTCAAGTCACTACTCATCCTGCATATTATTCCCAAGATACTGATCCTGATGAAGAAAAAGAACAGGATTCATGTCTTGGAGGCACAGGTGTGCCAGATTGAAGGCAAAATTCCATGAGAGCTTCTTTGATGCACCCCATGGATGCTAACTCCCCCCAAGAAACTACCGTGCAACATAATGCTTCTCGTCTGCTACATGCAGAAGTTCTCACTGGAAACTATACCAACCTTTATTTTTGAACAGCTGATTTTCAATCACAATGAGGACCCTTAACATCCCATCAAACCTTGGAAAGCTCTACCAAGCCAGCTTGAATTTGAAAGATTCAAGAGAAATCAGTAAAATGAGTTTATATCATACAACTGCTAGCTTTGCATTCTTCAAAATTTCTTGGAGAAAAGCATTTACATTCAAAACTTGCATGGCTAAAGAAATCAAGTCCGTAGCTATGATATTAACATCCAAGTGCTATGATTGGAAGGCTCCTAAACTTTCCACCATTCCTTTTGATAGCCCCTTAATAGTGTGTGACCAGAGAATATGTCACTCTTGACTGGGTTGATTTGCATCCATCAGTGTCTCAGGCAGACCGCAGCAATCAAGCTTCTCGGTCTGATACTCATATGAAGTGCATGAATCATCTTGAATATCATCACAATCGTCCTCATTATTCCCCTGAACCTTACTTGAAAGCTGAAAGTCACCATTACCATAATTACCAATGAAACTTTCAACTTGTGCTCCTGAAACTTCGTCTACATCTATATTTCCCTCATCTTCTTCATCTGTTGCAGCTCTACAAATATCATCAGCAACATTTTCAGAAGAATCAACCCCATCCTCATCGTCATCCTCAATGTCCCCATGGCAATCATCCTCCTGGTTGTGCTCATAATGTGCAGCAGTTCCTTGATCAGTTGGTGATTCCACGACAGAGTCATCATCCTCAGCTGAAATTCCACACTCAACAGTGTGCCACTCATCATCATCACTATCAATATTTACAGGGTCAACTCGGTTCTGCTCAGCACGTTTTCTGAGCATAAAGACATTAAAATAATAACTGACAAGGTCCTTCTTCCTATGGAAAGGGAGAACCGCAGGGAGATGATGCCAGAAATTCTTACCCAATGACAAGGGGTAAGAGAGAACAACACTATGAAATGCTAGCTCTTCCTCTTCAGTCCATCTTTTTGCAACTTCCTCCCCCATATCACAGAAACCCAACTCCCTGAATGTTTCTGACCCAAGGTTATCTCTTAATTTCTCTCTTGCTTCTGTCACATGTTGTCTAATGCATCTGATAGAACCCTTATCAAGGCATTCACAATCAATCCTGTGTCCCACATCTTCACTGTGAAACTTGGCAGTTGCTTCGGAATCAGGCATTGGAATGACACAAGTACCCATTATCTTTTTCCCATAATCATCATCAACCATAAGGCTTGCACATGATGATTTAGGGGCAACTTGAGGATCTGATGCATCTAGACCATCTGAAGAGCTCTTCATATCCTGTTGGCTCCATTCTGGAATATCAGCCTGATGCTCTGGTCCAATAGAAACTAGCTTTCGCGGAGAAAGAATAGATGAATAGATCTCATCAGAATGAAGAAAAGCCCTAATTTGGTGCCCAGATGCAAAATACTCTGGAAACAATGGAAGATGAACTGCCACCTCTGCTTCAGTATCTGCATCTATGCCATTGCTGTTTACCCACCAAAAATGAGGAACACAGCCAGAAGCACTACTTTCATATTCCTTATTGGTTCCACTTAGAACGTTGTTGCATTGATCTTCAGAAAACCTTCCTTCATCTTGGCACTTAGTGTAAATGTCCTCCCATTTATCTTCTTCAAATTGGAACGCTATCAGTTATAGATACTTTATTGAAAATTTAATTTGAATGGCTAAGCATGGCCATAAGACTGATGCAAATAGTTAGATGTAATAAAGGAAACATATGCAAGCTATTAGTTTGCCAAATTACAAGATAGATAGCGAGGAAAGACATGTACCAAATGCTTCTATAAATTCACATATCAGCAAAAAATCTTATTTATTATTAGCATGTTTTTTTGGACAAAATTGATAACAAGTTTAGTGCACATAACATTAGAGCTATCCAACTATATTATCAAGAAGAATCACAAGCAAGTTCATCAACTGAACCTTCCACATATTCAATCAATGAAGTAAAGGAAAATCCACCTTCTTTTGTTTGACAATTGGAAAAAATATACAGATGTATCTGTGCTTGTTTACTTGAACGGCATCTTAAGTCCACTATGCTAGGATTGAGTTGTCTAAAGAAACCTTACATAAGCTTATGCGATACTATCAAGTTCAGTATCGAGTCACATTCTCACACGACGTAATACATGAAATTTCTAGAGTAAAAAGATCCAAGCAAGAACATGTAATCTAGTTATGCAACAAGATTATACACTATTGTAGTACCATAAATTTGAGGATTTTGACAACCACTGCTGGGATGAACATCACTATCAACTGAAGCAAAGTAGCAGGTATCTTCCCATTGCCTTGGATGCTTACACGCAACCTCTTGAGAGTCATCAATGTAAGGACGCTTATGAATCATTGTAGCCTGCAAGTAAAAGTTGGTCATATTTTAGTGAATAAAAGCTTATGCACTAGAGGTTTAGTGTTGAAGAATTTAGCTTTTCTATATCTTTCAAACAAGAGACAAATAGTAATAATAATACCAAAAAAATTTAAAATTATTAATTAAATAAAAACGTGCAAAAAAAAAAAAAGAAAAGGCAAGTCTACATTCTATGTAATTGAGTTAAAGGAACTTGTTCTTACCTGAGAATTCGTCGACCAATCAATTGAGAAATTTATAAGAGCCAGGAAATAGGAAATAAAATTAAAAAATTAGATAAATGAAAATTATACTTATAAAAAAATTAAACACTGATTTACAACAAATAAAAGGTATAAAATTAGAAACTGGCAATGAAAAAGGTATATATTTAGAAATTTTACGATTTTAAATAATTTACACAGGAAAAAATTAAATGAAACAAATAGAAATTTTTGAATAAAAAAATCCGCCTAAAGTTTCGATATTTAAGAAAAACCCAGAAAATTTCGACCGGACTAGAAGAAACTGAATCAAGAAATAGAAGCGTAATAGGTCAAATTTTACAGATCAAAGAAGCCCCTTTTGAAATAGAAGAATTTCAAAAACCCTAACCCTAGAATCGAATTCGAGACACCGAATTGGGTGAAATTAGGATCAATCGAAAGAGAAGAAAACGAACGAATTGGGTACCAATTGAATTGAGGACAAAAGAGAAAGATTTGAAGGAAATTTGGATCGAAAAATTAAAGATGCATTTGATGTTGCGATCGCGAAATGGTAAAGTTTGGACGAGGTTTATTTATAGGAATCTGATTGGTTGGTGATCAGCGAAGGCTGGTGGAAAACATATAATTACTAAAAGAGGTCACAATCTGTTGGAAAATTACAGGAAATGCCACTTCGGATTGCTATAAGGAAAAAATTTGTCTGACGAGTCTGACAATTTGATGTAAGAATTTGGGGTTGATTGTCTATTTCCATGCCACGTGGAGGCATGCAATTGGATTTTTAGTTTATTTCGACACATGCAAAAAATTTTCAAAATATATTTTTTAAGGTTTTCGGTGGTATTATCTTTTGGACAAGAATAAAATAAATATTTTTTGGAGGAAATTTTTTGTTGGTTCGAATTTTTTTTAAATAAAAATAAAAATTTTATCTCGAGAACTTCAAATTCGAATTATAAATTAAATGTGTGAAATAAATCTAATGAAAATGAAAATAAATTATCTTGCATTATATTTATTCAAATTATATATATACTTAAAATTAAAAGAAAATGAAATATTTTTTTTAAACATTATGGAAAAGATAATTGTATCCATAAAATTGTATTAAATTTATTTTGAACAAATAAATAAAATTATACTAAAGTATCCTTTATCCATGCTGGATTAGGGCTGTAAACGAGCCGAGCCGAGCCGAGTAGTGAGAAGCTCGAGCTCGAGCTCGACTCACAACTCGGGGCTCGATACTCGGTTCGAGCTCGATCGAGTTTTATTTTTCAAGCTCGAGCTCGATTCGTGATCGAATTCGAGCTACTCGAGCTCGCTCGATTAAGCTCGATTAATATGTAAAAATAAGCTCGATTTGTATACTCGACAAGAGTTTCGATTATTCATGCTCGAACTCGAACTCGAACTCGGATTCGAAATATTTTTTTAATTAAAAAAAATAAAAATATATTTAATATAAAAGCTTGCTGGGCTTAATAGTTATTTGAATATAATTATTGCTCATATCTAAAATTTTATTAAAGTAATATTTGGTATACAATGATTATTTTAAAATTTTTGATAATTTTTGTATTATGATTAAATTATCGTATTTGGTAAATACTTGATAATCTTAAATGATAATGATTTTAAATTACGAAGAGTAATTAAATCATTACTTTAGATGATGATTTAATTTTTATCTAAAAGTGTAAAAATTTTTTATCACTAAAGTAAAATTATATATAAAATAAATAATAGTCAATATTACTCATTTAATAAGTGAATTAAAATTTTTTTAAAAAATTATAATTATTTTATATTATAATATTTATATTTTTAAATTAATATTTATAATAAATTCAAAAATAATTATGTATTTTTTACTTTTTTTAATGTTTTATATACAATAAATCTTTTTGTTTGTTTATTATGGTTTCAATAGATTATTTTTATTTTCTAATTCAAATGTTTTTTACATAATTTATATTATAAAAATTGGTTTACTTAATAAATATATATTTATTAATTTATTAATTTAATCATACTTTATAATAAAAGACATGTGTGAAACTAAACACAAAGTAAAATTGAAATTAAAAAGAGAGCAAATAGAAAAATTAAACTCAAATATTTACAAAAGTTCGATCGTTTCAATCTGCAGGCACCGACATTCTTCTTTTTTTTTTTCTTTTTGGTTTCATATTGACAAAATTCCTGGAACCTTTTGTGCATACATTGGCAACTTATTTATGTCAAGCAAAATCCAACTAGAGTTTTCTTCTCATGCATTGCCTTTTGAAACTGAAAGTATTTCATTGAAGGGGCAAATCGTTTAATGAAATTTCACCATTCTACATATGAAAGAAGATTAAATCGAACAAGAATAAAGTTTTCTAACAACAACAGACAAATTAAGGCACAACACAGAGCCTTTTAGATTTACCATGGTGGTAAAATTCCAACTGTGCTGGCTGCGATGGTAAAACAAGGAACAACAAAACTCGTCAAAGTAATCCATAGTAAAGAATCAAACTGAAGGCCTCAAACTCTAATCGATTGATCCGCAACATAAGCATTCAACCTGTGTATCATATTTATGCCACTGCAGGCATGTCCTTGAGCCATGGATCCAGTGGCTTACCAATTGAGTACACTATGAAACCAATCTCCCTCAGCCGGTCCACATTCACTATGTTCCTTCCATCAAAAACGAAAGCTGGCTTTTGCATGTTGTTGTATATCCTCTTGAAGTCAAGATTCTTAAATTCATCCCACTCGGTCAGAATGCAAATTCCATGTGCATCCTTCGTTGCCTCATAGGCATCCCAGACGCAGCTGACTTGTTTAACAGTTGTGGGACTCATGGGCTGCAAGTGAAGGGGATGGTCCCAGTCAAACTTGTTCATGGTAAGATCCCTCTGGATCTGGTCCTCAGTGACCTGTGGATCATATATGTTCAACCGAGCTTTGTCTCCCAAAAGCCCCTTGCATACATCAATGGCTGGGGTCTCCCTAGTATCACCAGTATCCTTCTTGAAGGCAAACCCTAAAACAGCAATCTTCTTGTTTGAAACAGTGTTAAACATTGAAGAAACAACACGATTAACAAAACGGTTTTTCTGATAGTCATTGACTTTAATAACTTGCTTCCAATACTCTGCCACCTCAGGAAGGCCATTGCACTCACAGATGTAAATCAGATTTAGAATGTCCTTCTGGAAGCAGGACCCGCCAAAACCAACACTAGCATTCAAAAATTTGGGTCCAATCCTCGTGTCCTTACCAACAGCATAAGACACCTGTGTAACATCAGCCCCAGTTGCCTCACAGAGAGCAGACATAGCATTTACAGATGAGATCCTTTGAGCCAAGAAAGCATTTGCAGCAAGCTTGGAAAGCTCTGCAGACCAAAGATTGGTGGTGAGAATTCTCTCTTCAGGGACCCAATGAGCATAAACATCCTTCAATGCTTGGACAGCCTTATTGCCTTCTGGGGTCTCCCGGCCTCCAATGAGAACACGATCAGGGTTAAAAAGATCTTGAATTGCAGTTCCCTCTGCAAGAAATTCTGGGTTTGAAAGGATTTGGAATTTAATTCCTTTGCTGTTGTGGGTGAGAATCTTTTCAATTGCCTCAGCAGTTTTGACAGGGACCGTTGATTTCTCAACCACAATCTTGTCAGATTTTGATACGTCAGCAATCATGCGGGCAGCACTTTCCCAATAAGTAAGGTCTGCAGCTTTGCCAGCTCCAAGCCCCCGAGTCTTGGTGGGAGTGTTGACTGAAACGAAGACTATATCAGCCTCACGCACGTGTTTCTCTACGTCAGTGCTGAAAAAAAGGTTCTTGCCCCGACACTGCTTCACAACACCATCAAGACCAGGCTCATAGATAGGGAGCTGCTCGCTGTTCCAGGCATTAATCCGAGATACAGAGATATCAACAACAGCCACTTCAATAGACGGGCATTTAAGCGCAATCACAGCCATTGTAGGCCCACCAACATAACCAGCTCCAATGCAACATATCTTCACCATTTTCTTTGTATATTACAACCTAAACAAAGAGACGTAAGTATTCACATATCATATAAAACAAAATGGTGAATACCATTCCTCAATCTACCCAAAAGCACAAACCAAATGGTAAACCTAGAACAAACTTAACAATTAATGTCATTTTGAAAACAATAAGATGCATATGGCATGTTGTATGTAGACATGGAACCAGGCTATGAAATGTAACCAATATAAGTATCTCATATCATGTATTCTAGCATCTGATTATCACCTTTCCAAAAGCTGAACTAATAGTGAAAATGAACTAATACTGAAGCATAACATAGAAAACAATAACTAGAGAAGAATATACCATCAGATCTGACCAAGTCATCCAAGCACTCTTATTACATTTTAACTAACAGACCAATAAAAGAATAGATCCAAAATTCAAAACAGAGACTAATGAAACCAATAAAATTCAATTCAGATCCAAAGACAATTAGCTTGATTCAAAGTTCCCATTCAAGTTTCATAACCAAAATATTAGCACAATTTGCAGATCAACTAAGAGACAACTTGGCAGACAGATCTGTTTTGTTAAGCCAATCAAAACGAGTTCATGTTACAAAAAGGGAAACTAATCACTTTAATTCATGAACAAAAATGTGAAAAAGCAAGAGATTTTGAACCTAGTCAAATAGAGACTCAGATCAAGAACTAACAGTAAAAAATATTCAAATTTTAAGCTAGTTAACAATCAAAACAGCCTCAAGTAACAAAAGCAAAAACTTCCCTTTTTAATTCATGGAAAACCAATGTAAAAAAGCAAATAAAATTTGAATCTTGTCAAATGGAAACTCAGATCAAGAACAAACAACTCAGAAAAGACTAATTTTTAAAGCAGAAAAAGAAGTAAGAAAAACACCACCCACAAAATGAAGGGAACCCAAATCAATAGAAAACAAAATGGATTGAAAATGGAATAATTTGTATTAATTTACCTAAAAAATATCTCCTCAAATAGAGACAAATAGTTCAGAGAAAGAGAAGAAGAGAGGAGTTCAGCTCTAACGATATGAAATTATAAGAGCAGGGGAGGTTGCTTTATACTGAACAATCTTCCATTTTTACCCTTGGCATTTCCCACAAAATTACTTTGACTGGAAAAGAAGGGAGGTTAAATATAAAGTGTGTACCGACTGAAATTCCTGTCAACTGAAATGAAATGACAAAAATGGGCTAGTAAACGAAAAGGTGTCGAATTAGCATCCTGAATGTACTGTCAAGAATCCCAACGCGGTTTTTTTTCTAACAGCAAGGCATAGTGGTCTGGACCGCAATAACATGGAGACCTTCCTTGACGCTGCGGGCACCCCATTTTAAGCCTTTTTTTTTTTTTTTTCCGCTTTGTGTATTTATTTATGAAAAAATTTAGATAAAAATTTTTAGTTAAAATTCATAAAATTTTTTATTAAAAATAATTAAATTAAAAATTAAAATTAAAATTGATAAATTGAATGATCTCGATATATAAATTAAGTATGTAAATTTTAAAAAAATTTAAAATATTTTTATATAGATATTTTTAATAAAAATATTGACAAAATTTTTATTAATCAAATTTGAATTATAAATAATATTTTTAATAATTTTTTGTATGTTATTGATTTTTATATTAAACTTTATCAATTTATAAGTTTGGATTTTTTGTTAAAGTTTTTATTAAAATATTTTTAAAAAAAATTTTACAAAATTTTACTTAAAAAATTTCATGTAAGTTTTGTACTATTTATTTATTCAAAGTTTTTTTTACATGATGATTTTGAATTACACAATGAAAAATATATATTATTTTGCTGGTTTTTTTTTAAATATATTTTTTGTTCAAAGAATGATTTTGAATTTTTTAATAATAATAATAATAATAATAATAATAATAATAATAATAATTAAAGGGTTCCTAATTTTCAGTTACCTTGGAAAGCTAATATTTAGAGTCAAGTAGTATTAAAATTTTTTATGTAAAATTCATGAAGTTTTTTTATTAAAAATAATCACATAAAAATTAAAAATTCAAAGCAATAGATTAATAGGATTTAAAAAATTAATAATACAAAAAAATATGCTATCATTTTTAATAATATTTATTGATTTAAATTTTTATTTTTTTATGTAATTTTTTAACAGAGAACTTGGAGTATTGTCCTTAGTTACTATGCTAACTTGAAAGCAAATGCAATTTTAGACCATTTAGTTTCCATCATATCTTTTGAAAAGCTTCACATGGGTTTTAAGATTAATGACATAAATAAACTATGATTAAAGCTTTTAATGTACAATTATGCTATATAGAAACCATTTTAGCTGAACATATATATTACACCCAAATTTGGTAAAAACAAAGTTAAAGCAGTCATTTTTGCAAATATTATATTTTTTAAAATTATTAAAATTTAAATCTTAATCATTAAAATTAAGAGTCTAACCCTCGACTGACAAATCACGTGATTTTTTGCTGTAATTCTTATACCTTATCACTTTACACCTTAATTTTTTTATTTTTTGTGTTTTCTTTCATATCTTTTCTTTTTTATACAAAATTTTTCATCTTTTATTGTATTAATATTTTCAAAATACACATAATTTTAATTGTTTTTTTTTTTTTGGGGCTGAATTTGTCATCATCTCCCAATCACTAGGGCAAAAAGTTATGGAGTCTAATTATCATGTTAGTTGAGATCAGCTTAGGGTTTCTTGAAATTTTGTTGAAAACTATTATAATTAAAGTAGGGTTGTAGAAAGTTTTTTTTTTTTTTTCTTTTTATGACCATGATTCTCATGTGCATTAAGGTCATGAATCAATGACTAAGCATTATTATTTTCTGGTAGGAGAGTATGAAAAGGAAATCTTCAAACCCAAGAATGAACTTGCTTGAGGACTCGAGAAATATAAAATTTTGAGTGCAATTAAAGCCATGTTTAATTGTTGTAGGAAAAAACAGATTGGAAACCAAAAAATTTGAAGGAAAAAAATGGTCCTAGTGATGATCATGGCTCATGATGATATAACATGAAAACACCATGTTTTAAATGTGCTCTTAGGGCTAATTTGGATTGATGCATTGGTTTTTTTTTTTTTTTTTTGAGCTAATTTTATTATGGGATGCATTTGAATAATAATCTTCTAATGCATTTGGCCCTAATGCCCATTCAACATGAGATTGGAGGGAAAACGGTCCAATGGTTCATTAGACCCTAAGATAGTCAACTACTTTAGTATAAAAATAAAAATGAAGACATTTTTCAAATTAAAACATTGCATTTATGGCATAATTAGCCGTTATAAATTTCACTATTATCATTATATTTATATCCAAATATATATTTTCATAATTCATTGTAATATCATCGTTACAATATTTATCTAACTTAATCTTATTGTCAATATTTTTTTTTCAATTTCACTATTTATTCAAATGGACACCTAAACAACATAAATCCAAGGAAAATCTTGTGTTAATTTTTATATTCAAAATTAAAATCATAAAAAAAAAGAAAGAACACAAAAAAAAAAAGAAAAAAAAGTTTCAAGTTTCGACTAAAGTTTTTTTATTTAATATAATAATATAATTATTATGCATTTTGATAGTTGATAACAGTTAGTGGATATCAAAGATAAAAAAAAATATTGCACTTGATAGCATGTGATTCCCTTTTTTTTGCATTATACATTAAAAAATGTTATAATGCAAACTCTTATATTTTTTTTTATGATTTTTACTTGTTCAAAATTACAACTTATTATCAATAGATGATTGGCTCAAGTAATAAAAAATATATATTTAATTTTTTTTATTTTTTAAATTTAAATTCATTAAGAGATCGTGAAAAACTAAATTTTTGTAAATCCATTAGATCTAACATAAATAATCTTATTTGGATCGATAAAAAAAAAAAACGTATTGAATAAAATTAAAAAATTCTTTACTGTTAAATAAAAAAATTATAACTCGTTACAATGCCAGCATTCATTTCTTCCAATATCAAAGAGGCACATTTCATCATGCCTTTTCCTTTTAAAAGGTATAAACTAATTCATCATTTGAAAATTTACCTAATGATGTAATTGTTCTTATCAATGGAACTACTCAATTCTAAAATAAAATTGGAAAAAAAAAAAAGGAATGAACTTCCTAATAAAAATATATTTTTAAAGCTCCACTCACATGATTAGGTCATTAAGACTAACACAAAATTTAAAATTTTTTTCCTTTTTTTTCCAAAATAATAAGAAATTTTATTAGGATTTAATTACACAATTTAAAGTTTTGTACACTTGATTCCTAATCTCATTGACCCAAAACCACTAAGTAAATGCAAGACAACAGGTCTTTCATGCTATGACTTAAATTGTGATAGGAATAGCTAAATCACTACAATCTTGATCTTAAAAATGGAACTTCAAGGTAAATTTCACCGTTAGTCATCTAATTATCATTAAAATTTTAATCGAATTATTAATCTTTAATTTATTTCGATAAAATTACTAAAATTTTGTTAAATATACAAAATCTAATTAAACTAACAAATTTCATCCAAATTAATTTAATTGTTATAGGTTTTGTGACTTGTATTTCGATGTTAAAAAAAGTGAAATATTCAATTTTTACACAAAAAAAAAGTAAAATCTTGTATCAAATCAATGTAAAAGAAATTACTCTTGATTGAGATCCTTTTTTATAAACTTGGCAATTTTAATCATTAGTAATAAACTTGATAATTTTAAATATGATACGATGATACGATATAAATAAAAAACATAAAAATGATATAGTTTAAAATTTTAGAAAAAAATTATAAATAAATTAAAAAAATTATTTTATATTTTTATATTAACATAAATTATAACATGTAATTTTTGTATAAAAATTAATATGAATATATAAATTATTAATATTTATATAATATAAAATACATAAATTATCAAATCTAGTTGGATATAAGAATTGATTCCAAATTATATTACCAAAGAAAAAACAAATTTGAAAAAATAAGACCTAAAATTAATCCATTAGCCCAAAGTGGCCCAAATCAAACAATTGCTAAACTTTGACCCATCATTGCCCAAAATACAAATCCAACCCAAGACAATATTGTAATTTTCCAAACATCAAGGGCATTTCCATTTCTATATGATCTGGTCTTTCACAACGGTTAATCAAAGCAAATCCCATTCGATATCTCTAAATCCCTTAATCCAGCGGTCACTAAATAACCCAAATTTTCAAACAATTAATCCGACGCTCAGAATCAACTCCAAAACTAGCCGTTACACGGAGCGTCAACGTCTAACGTTCCCTTCTTTTTTTCTTCCTTCTTTTCTTTGATTTCTTTGTTTCTTCTCATTCAATTCTTTCATCAAAGACTCCAAACTGTCTCTCACTTTCTTGGAATTCTCCAATTTCCCATCAATCATAAACCAAAACCCAGGTTTTTTTTTCCAATTTCTTGAAAGATTTTCTTCTTTTTTTCCCAATGGAGGTGGCTAAGAATTCAAAACTGGGGACTCCTGTGAAAGACCCAGAAGGGAGTTCTAAATTAAAAAACCAAAAGGTTTCAAAACTTTCTGAAAATTCGAATCCAAATATCTCTGATTCAAGTTCTCCATTAACAAAATCTGCAAAATCCCAGAAATATTCTTCCAAGAATCCAGTTGTTTATTCACCAAGAAACAAGCTTAGGGAAAGAAAGTTTGTGGTGGCTAAGAAGAACTCGAAGAAAGAAAGGTCTAATTCAAATCCAAAGGTTGAGATCGATTGCAAATGTAAAGACAAGTTTGGTGGGAATTCAAAGAAGTGTCTATGTGTTGCTTATGAGAATTTGAGAGCATCTCAAGAAGAGTTTTTTAAGAACAAAGCTGAAACTGAAGCTGAAGAAGAGGCTGAAGAGAACGGTGATTTTATTGAGAATCTTCGAGAAGGGTATGGATCAGATAATCAAGAGATTGATGAGATCGAAAACTCGGATCAAACGGGTAGTTCAACTATCAAGAGAAGGAGGGATAAGTTGATGGAGGAAGCAAGAAATAGTGTGCCTGAATCTGGGAAAGTTATGCACTTGGTTAAGGCTTTCGAGAGGCTTCTTTCGATACCGAATTCAAAGGAATCAGAGGAGGGAGATGATCAAAAGGAACCAAAAGAAGAGAAGATTGATAATAATAATAAGAAGCCACTGAAATGGGCATTACCTGGATTGCAACCACCAAAGGTGCCTGAGGCTAACATTGAGAATGAGGATGAGTCTAAGGATTCTTCTTCTTCATTCTGTCCATCAGATTTTGTTCTGACTGCTCAGAATCTTGGTTTGGATCCACGTTTCTCAGTTTCTTCTTCATGGGATAGCAGCCATGGAAGGTCAGTGATTAGTTTATCACCTGCAAATATACTTGCTTTTTTTTCCTAAGTTCTCTTATTTGGGTTTTTTTGTTTGTATCGTTACTTTATTTGCAGTATTTCAAGAAGGACTTCTAATGGAGGTCGAAGAAGCAGAAGAAATGTAAGTAAACATTCACTTCTACTAATTTATTTTCACTGTTCTTGTCATATTGAATGTTAAATGAGGTCTTTCGATTGTTAAATTTAAGCCTAATCTCACATCTCTCATTTGTACTAAGGAGTTGGCATACTCTTCTGGTAGTTACTTGTCATATCGATTAATCTCTTGGGCCTATTTTCTGTAGCAATAAGACATTTTCAAGTGGTCTTCTATAGATATTGTGCTTATATTTACAGTGGGACTCATTGATCAAAGATCAAAGACCTCATAGCATGTCTTCTGAGTTAATCTCTTATGCCTCTCATCTGCAAAGCTATTTTCAACTGGTCTCCTATGGATGTTATGTTATATATAGAGTAGGACTGAAGGATCAAAGATCAAAGAGAACATGGATCACAGGTCAAAACTGAAAATATAAATGTGTATTTTCTGCATTCTGGCTCATGACTTTTGTATTTATTCTTGCATTTTAGAGCTCTGACTCTGTTGGGACAATTGGTGGGAAGAGATGGAAAAGGCAGCTCAAACCCACTTCCCAAAAACCATTCAAGCTAAGAACTGAGGTATATCGTTTGACTTGAGTTTTTGTTAATAGACCATGCATCTTATTTGAAGTGATTCTTATGTTAGAATTTTCAATTACTTCTTGCTATTGCAGCAAAGAGGAAAAGTGAAGGAAGAAGAATTCATGAAGAAGATCCAAGAAATGATGGAAGAGCAAGAGAAACAACGGATACCAATTGCTCAAGGCCTCCCATGGACAACAGACGAACCTGAGGTGAGACCACTTTTATACAGTTTAAATGAATTGAAAAAGCAATAGTTAGTTGAGTCTTTCTCATCAATTTAACTCTTCTTCTTCTGCGGCTTTTGTTTATGCAGATCTTGATCAAACCTCCTGTTAAAGAGTTTACAAGACCAGTAGACCTGAGACTCCACAGTGACGTGCGAGCAGTGGAGCGCGCAGAGTTTGATCATCAGGTTCCTTTTAATTAATATTGCTTAATTGATAGTATATAATTTGGTGGTCATTGGTTTTTTGAAGTGCTTTAGTTTGTATCTATAGGTTGAGGGTTTATGTGGTACTACATATAGAAAAAGGTTCAAGTAGCTGAATCTTGTTATACCATGTCCTAACTAGATCATGGTTGATGCACTTGAAATGTGGAACATTTATTCATGTTTTTTTTATTGTGTTTTTGTCCAGGTAGCTGAGAAGATAAGTCTAATAGAGCAATATAAAATGGAAAGGGAGAGGCAGCAAAAGGTAAATGTTCTGAAAAATGCATGATTTAAAGTGTTTGTTTTAAGAAAATAATCTAAATAGGCATTTTGCTCTTGCAGATTGCTGAAGAAGAAGAGATAAAGAGGCTGAGAAAGGAGCTCATTCCAAAAGCACAGCCTATGCCCTACTTTGACAGGCCTTTTATCCCTAGAAGGTAAAGTTAGCCTTGCTGTGTTTAGCTTTAAAGTTCTCAAAAATCAAAAGCTTATTATTTGTGAAAGGCTTAACTGCCAATAACATTGATAAGTTCATTCCTTTATTCTATTGTGCTACTGCTATCTATTATGTTAAATAAAGGCTTGTATTTATTTGTTCGGTTCTGGTTATGTTTAAGGTCCTTGAAGCATCCAACTATACCAAAGGAGCCAAAGGTCCACATTCCACAACATAAGAAGATAAAGTGCTGCATATCATGGAATGACATGAGTTCGTACACTTTTCAGCGCAATGAAGCAAGAGAAACATAGGTTTTGATTACCTAATGTCAATTCTACTCCTCAATTGTTTTCCCCCTTTGGAAGCCATCTGAAGATTTGTACATGTGCAACCAATTTAGTTGCAATTTTGCCTTTTCTTTAGTGGAAGAACAATGGGCATGAAAATGAAGTCTCATTCTGATCAGTGAGCTTCTTGTTTACTTAGAATACCAGATACCATCTCTAAGATTATTGATCAGAAGAACTGCATTCTTCAGAATAAGTTGCTTTCATGGAGCTGCACCACAAGTAGCTTTCCCTCCAGCAATGTTTTGATCCATTTTTATCAGATGTCCCCAAAGGGACAACCACCTCCAAGCAATGTATGTTTATTCAGGGGGCCACCACCATCCGCCTAGCTAAAGTTGAATGAATGAATATGAGAGTATGGGAGATACATAACACAGAGGCAATAGCAGCACCAACCAAAATGGTGGAAGTGCAATATCTAAGTCAATATCATAAAGTGAAAATGTTAGTATCCTAAACTACATAATTAAATTCCTTTACAAATGAAAACAAAGGCAATGAGAATGACATGAATTTCATTTCTTAAAGTTTGAGCACTTTTGCTGCCTAACATGAAGAGTTTGGTGTGTGGTTTGAAGCATTGAAACATAATTAAGACAAAATTATGCAAGTTACTCGGGTGGAGCAATCTAAATTCCATAATGCACACCAAAAATAATCATGAAATTAGAAAGGTAGCTTATAGTCCTTATTCTGGATTAACATTCCATAAGAAGAGGAACGTGCTAAACCATGATAAAGCATTTTGTTGGGATAAAATGAAATCATTTTACTCAACCCTTGGCTCTTTTTTCCTCCCAAAAAAAAAAGGGTGGTGATTTTCAATGACTCTCTGAGTTCATTTGATTTATATCTACAGTTGAATATAAAAAGTACTTTAAACATGGTAACATCATGTCAAAATTTCGTAGTGTCAAGTCTGTTAAATGGACCAACAGCCCACCTAAATTGAAGCAAAACACTCCCCCTAACAAACTTTCCTCTTTGAACTCAAAAAAAAAAATATATATATATATATATATGTAAATAAAAAAACCATAGCCTTCCAAATGCTAGCCAAGTCATCATAAGAAAGCCCAAAGCCTTCCCCACCACTAATCTTTATGATCTGCCTTTCTTTTTCTTTTAAAACGACATAATATTAGCAAGAATTAATCTCTTTGACCTTTAATACGACATCGTTTTCTGGATTAAGCTGGACTCTCACTTCCCCTGATAAACAACCACAGCCATCTTTTTACGTCCTTCACTCGCCAAATTCCCAATTGTCTACTAACCCTAAAATTTCCACAGCAAAAAAAGCATAGGGAAAGCGAAAATCATAAAAAATGGTGATCAAGCAGCTGCTTTCTCTAACTCGTCGGTCCCATAAGTCTTCGTGTACTTTAATCACCGCCCGATCATCTTCCTCCGCCGCTTCTCCTCTCGCCACCACCGCCACTGCCGAATCTAAAGAGATCACCCCTCCTCCACCTACTGCCATGATCTACGACCGCTTAGCCCTCTCCGTCAAATCAAAACTCCAAAAACTCGAAAACCCAGATTCCCGTTTCCTCAAATACGGTTCCCCTCACCCAACCGTAACTTCCCACACTCACATACTATCTTCCCCCGAAACCAAAATTACAACTTTGCCCAACGGCCTTCGTGTCGCCACAGAATCTACTTTGTCTTCTCACACGGCCACTGTTGGCGTCTGGATCGATGCAGGGTCGAGATTTGAGACGGATGAGACGAATGGGACGGCGCATTTCTTGGAGCATATGATATTTAAAGGGACGGAGAAGAGGTCTGCGAGGGAATTGGAGGAAGAGATTGAGAATATGGGAGGGCATTTGAATGCTTATACTTCGAGGGAACAGACCACTTATTATGCGAAAGTTATGGACAAAGATGTCTTTAAAGCGTTGGATATATTGGCTGATATTTTGCAGAATTCAAAGTTTGAGGAACACAGGATTAGTAGGGAAAGAGATGTGATTCTACGAGAAATGGAGGAGGTAATTAAAAAAGCTTGGACTTTTTGGAGTTTTTAAATGGGTTTTGGATAATATATGCTTTTTTTTGTTGATTTAGAATGTATTGTCTCTGTTTTTAGGGAATATAGGAGGGAATACGAATTGGGTTGTTTGTGTTTTGCTTGGCGTGTAGGAGGTAAATAAGTAATTAGATTAATGGGATTGGATTTAAAAATTTCAACGTTGTGAAATATATATGACTTTTAGGAAATGCAGCTTAAAGTTTGACGAAAATGGGATTAGTAGGGAGAACGATGTGACTTTAGCGACAATGGAGAACATAATAAAAATTTTGGATTTTTTAAAATGAGTTTTAGTGTGTTTTGGCTTATATGTGTTTGATTGAGTGATTTTAATAATGTATTTTATCAGTTCTTAGGGAATATAGGAGTTTGTAATTGGAATACATGAATGAGGTGAAATTGTTTTTTTTCTTTATTTTGATATGGGTATTAATGTGTTTTTAAATTGTTTTTGGATGGTATGTGTTTTCTTGATTGATTTTGAACGTTAACTATCTGTTTTTAGGGAATAGAGGAGATAATTGGGTTGTTTGTGTGTTTGCTTGGCATATAGGATTATTATGGAATGGAATGTGATATTAAAGGAAATGGAGGAGGTAGAAAATTTAAATTAATGCCATTTATTAATGGCTCTACAATTTTTAGAGTAAAAATGTTATTTTAGTTGTTTAAAATAATTTACTTCTGTTTTACTGATATATGAAGGTAGTTCCTTAGCTTCTGAGTAAGAGCTGTTTGCTTTGTTTGACACATTTGGCAATAGCTGGTCTTTTATTGGCTACATGTGCTGTATAAGAATTTGTTGGGTTAGAAACCAGTTTCCATCAACTATTTGGTTGTAATAATAATTGCTGTGTTTTTTATATAGAGCAATGATATGTAAAGTATATTTCTTCTGGTTGGCTTTTTTTTTTTTTTGGTGGATAGGCCCATTGGGGTGTTAAATAATCTCTTGTGAAGCCTGATAAGGATGTTCCTTATCATCTATGAAGCACGGACACCTAATACGGATTCAGTATGACATGAAAATTTTCAAAAAATGAAGACACGGTTATGGCAGGACACGGCAATAAAAAAATAATTTTTATATATTTTTTTATATAAAATTATTTAATGTAAATATAAATATTGATACTTTAATAATTATAATTTTAAATTTTTAATAGCCCAAATTAGATAAAATGAAGACTAGCCAAAATTCTGGACTCAGGCTGCAAATTTAATCTCTTAGAAAGCCTATAGTATTAGTATGGAAATTTTATGGGTTTTCTTTTGATCTAATATGGGCTTAAACTTGACTTTTTTGGGTTTACTAGCCCAACTTTTTCTTTCTTGTGCCTTTATACAAGAATAAAGGTGATATACAAGATTGTTTGAACTATCGAGGAATAAAACTTATGAGTTATACTATGAAACTTTGGGAGAGAGTAATTGAAAGTAGGTTGCAATATGAGATCACTATTTCCAAAAACCAATTTGGGTTTATGCCAAGAAGCTCCACAATAGAGGCGATCCATCTTTTGAGGTTTTTATTGAAGGGTTTTCGGGTGAGAAAGAAAGATCTACATATGGCATTTACTGACTTGGAGAAAACATATGATAGAGTTCCTCGAAATGTGCTTTGGTGGGCCTTAATGAAGAAAGGAGTCCCTTTAAATTACGTCAACATGGTTAAAGATATGCGTGAAAGAGTTGTAACAAATTTGATGATAATTGGGGACATGACAAATAGCTTCCCCATTACCTCAGGATTACATCGAGGCTCAACATGAAGTCCATTTCTTTTTGCATTAGTTATGGATGAGCTCACTGGACATATCCAAGATTAGGTGCCATGGTGTATGTTATTTGCCAATGATATAGTTTTAGTTGCTAAAACTAGTGATGACCTTAATACGAAATTAGAATTATGGAGTACATTGGAGTCTCGAGGTTTTTGAGTAGATCTAAAACTGAATATATGGAATGTAAGTTTAGTAATCGTAGGGAAATGGGTACTAGTGTGATTAAGTAGGATGGTGAGATAGTTCCAACGATTAGCCAGTTTTGATATTTGGGATCAATTATTCAGAGTGATATTGGGAAAAAAGCAGATTTCAAGCTTAGGGTTCAAGCAGGATGGGGGAGGTGGTGAAATACATTGGATATGTTTTATGATCGCAACATGCCTTTGAAGTTAAAAGCAAAGTTGTATAAAACAACTGTAAGGCCTGCATTGCTATATGGAATTGAATGTTGAGCTGCTAAAAAACAAAATGAGAAAAAAAATGAACGAAGTGGAGATGATGATGCTTAGATGGATGTGTGGTTAGACTAGAAGAGACAAAATCAGAAATGAAGAGATTCAAGAAAAATTAGGGGTAGTTTGAATTGAGAAGATGAGAGAGGCCCGTTTGAGATGGTTAGGATATGTGAAACGTAAGCTAGAATTGGAGAATTGAGTTTCTAGATCTAGGAGAGATCAAAACTTCTAGAGGTAGATCACGAAAGACATGGATACAAGTAATAACAGATGATATGATGGTTAAGGAATTAGATGAAAAGGTTGTTGATAAAAATGAGTGGCGCAAGAAGATTCAAATTACAACCTAACATGATTCCCTTACTTGGTCTTTTATACAGTCGACCAGGGGATATAAGGCTTAGTTTGTTGTTGTTATTAATTATTAAACAATGCAAAAAACCAGAGAAAAAATATTGGGTTCCTCTTACACCCTCTCTCATTGAAAAAATCCTTCCATCTCTATCCAAACCAGAAGCTTTCTGTGAAACGAGTGGCTCAGCATTTTCTGATGACTCTTACGAGGTTGATGTAGTTCCTCCTGTAAATCAAATGCTGCTTGTTCTTGAAGATTTTTCCTCAAATGAAAACCTGGTATTATTCAAGATTTGAAATGTCCTGATAGTTATAGTGGATTAGATTTGTTTGAAAGTTCTTGCTTTGATTCAATTTCAGTTGGGCTTTTCAAGTTTTAGGTGCTTCAAAGCATAATGAACCCTTTAAACTCAGCTTCTTGTGTAAACTATACCCTTTTTCAATGTGACTACCGATCTCTTCTCTTTCTGGTTCATGCTTTTAGGGGAAGCAGATCTGGTAAGTGGTAACATGTCTGGACGTGTCATCACCGTGTCTTGACTGTGTCCAATTTTTTTTGTGTGTCTGGGCGTATCTTGTATGTATTTTGTCATGACGATGGCGTGTCTGTGTCAGACACTAGTACGACGCCGGTATGCCGAGGTTTCCCTGTGTCTGTGCTTCATAGATTATCATTATTTCCTATATAGATAATGTTGCCTTGGTTTTGCCAAATGCACTTGTTCTTTGTTCCATGTTGATTATTCCTAAAAAAGTTATCATCTTGGGAATTTTGTAGGTTGAGAGTCAAACAGAGGAAGTTATTTTTGACCATTTGCATTCGACTGCTTTCCAATACACTCCTCTTGGTAGAACTATTCTGGGACCTGCTGATAATATTAAGACAATCACCAAAGAGCATCTGCAGAACTATATTCAGACACACTACACTGCTCCTAGAATGGTATGCAATACTCAGCTTTTCTTGTGTATCTTTATTTAATACAATATGTCCAAGTCCTTAAAGTTTATGAATATCTTGTTATTCCATTGATTTCCTAGAATATCATGTAAGGTACTTTGTGCAAGAGTTGTTGTTGATAGATTCTTATACATGTGTGTTTTTTGATAACTTTTACAGGTCATTGCTGCTTCTGGAGCTGTTAAGCATGAGGAAATTGTTGAGCAAGTAAAGAAGTTATTTACTAAGTTATCATCCGATCCAACCACTGCTTCTCAGTTAGTTGTGAAAGAACCAGCCGCTTTTACTGGTTCTGAGGTGGGGGTGCCAATATTTTAGTAAAACTATTTATTCAGTAATATTCACTTTCAATGTGTTATGCTTTCTAAGACTTTTTTTTTTTTTTAATTTTGAAAAAATCAGGTTAGAATGATTAATGATGATGTTCCTCTAGCACAATTTGCGGTTGCTTTTGAGGGAGCATCTTGGACAGATCCAGATTCCATTGCGCTAATGGTTATGCAGGCAATGTTGGGTTCGTGGAGCAAAAATGCTGGGGGTGGAAAGCACATGGGGTGAGCTTTACCCTTACATCAAATCACATTTTAAACTGAACTCTGCCTTTGCAGTCTCAAAATGAGACTCTTCTGTTGCAACAATGTCTTGATTCATTTTGAAAATCCTTTAAACAGCTCTGAGCTGGCACAAAGAGTTGGCATTAATGAAATTGCAGAAAGCATGATGGCTTTCAACACCAACTATAAAGATACTGGTCTTTTTGGTGTCTATGCTGTTGCCGAGGTGAGGTTGCTGCCTGTTTCTATAATTTTTTGTTATGATCTGAAAAAACTTGATGCCAAAAAAAAAAAAAAGATTATTCCTACTTGTTATGAATGACAAAGTTTTTGGTTATAAATTTGTCATATTCTTTGATTTCATCATAGTTAATTTTAATTCATCATCTAGTGGCCTGAACATCTTATCCGGTTGTTGCCTCCCCCTTCTCCCATTTATGTTGGTTTAACTAAATTGTTTTGCATGTGTAAGCCAACAATGGTTGGCCATATGCTGTTTTATTTGTTGTTTTTTTTTTTCTTTTCATTTTATTCTACCTTTTATTTTATGATGGAATGTTAAATTTTATGTTCTGTTTTCAGCCTGATTGTTTGGATGATTTGGCTTATGCTATTATGTATGAGATGGCCAAGCTAGCTTATCGTGTTTCAGAAGCTGACGTCATTCGTGCTCGTAATCAGGTAGCTACATATGCAGCTATCTTTTCTTCATGGTTGATGGATACTAATTTTGATATTTTGACATTTTGTATTGTTTTAAGTACTTCTAGCAGATTGCCAGTAGTACAAAACCAGTTGCCTAGGTCATTTTGGCATTCTACATTAATTACATGCACTGAATCTAATGCACCAGTGAGTGCAGATCTTGTTTAAAGAGCTTTTTGTTTGTTATATAGATTTTGTTTAAAGTGCAGCAGTTGCCTTGGTCACTATGATGCCTGTCCTAGCTGATATCTTTTTATGCTCTCGTGTTTCTTTTCATCCTCTCTCACTCTTTCACACATTCTTGCATGTTAACACTCACAGACAACTGTGTATGGAATCAAGACCTGTGCCTTCTAAACAGTGAATGTCCTGTTTCTCCTGTAAATAACTAGTCAATCTATCTTTCCATGTGCTTAACAACTATTGCATTTTTTTTTTCAGTTAAAGTCATCCTTGATGCTTCACATAGATGGAACTAGTCCTGTAGCTGAAGATATTGGGCGCCAGGTACAATCTTTTTCCACGTTAAAAGGGTTTTAATTCCAGTGGTGCATGGAAGCAATCAAATCCTTTGAATCAGCACATAAGCTGTTTTCAAGCAAATAAAGTTTTAAATGATTCGAGAGGAATTTTTAATGACTAGAAACAAAGATTCTTTTGCTCATACAGAATTGTATGATCTTAAATATGGGATTTTTGTCACGTTGACATTGTTGTGCAACATATACACCATAGAGTAGCTGTGCTTAAGCTGTTCTGGCAAGACATAACATGCACTATGGTTTATTATTCATTTCAATTACTTATTTGCATTAATCTCCAATCCTTGCAGCTACTTACATACGGTCGGAGAATCCCATTTTCTGAATTATTTGCTAGGATTGATGCTGTTGACCCAAGCACTATTAAACGCGTTGCAAACCGATTTATCTATGACAGGGTATGAACCGCAACCTAGCCTTGCACTTATTACTCATTGAAATGGTTTCAAGCTATAATGAATTTTGCTGGGATGTGACATTGAAATTTCAGGATATAACGTTTTAAAGCCGTTTATGTTTGGTATTTGCAGGATGTTGCAATTGCTGCAATGGGCCCCGTCCAGGGTTTGCCCGACTACAACTGGTTCCGACGCAGGACCTACTGGAACCGTTACTAGATTATTTTGCTGGGCAACCACAAACTTTCTGGCACTTTTACACAACCAAAGTTTCTGAAAACACCTGAGGGTGGCATTTCTATTCATTTTGTAGGGTTCTTGGTTCTGTAGCTTTGTTGTTATTCTGTAATAAGCAATGCTATCTTCAGTGTTTCTGCTGAGAATCATGAGATAATTCTTTTGCCAAACAAGGTAAATGATGCCCCTAATGTTTTGATAATGGTGAGTTGCATTTGTATTTTTGTAGCTAAGCTATCTAAAAGGCATTTATTTTGAGCTTGAAATATTGGGTGTTGCTGCTGGCAGTTCAACTGCCTGTTCACTACCTTTTTACATCCATCACTTTCATTGAGATTGATTGTTCAACAACCACTAATTTAATTATGTTACTATTTCTCAGATGATGCAATTTGATTCCTAAATGTTGTCAACAACAAACCTGTGGTTGGTTTATGGTTTATAAGATTACTTTGTGGCATTCGATATGGTACAAGTTCGAAGTTCAAGTTTTAACATTTAGAAATTTTTTCTACAGAATACTATAAAAATTATGCCTTAAAAGGACTAATTCATTTGGTAAGGGAAGGAATTTTCTTTTTTGTCAATCCAAATCAATCATTATGAAAATTGTAGCAGGAATATAAAATCCAAATTGAAGAAACTATGGAAAAAAATTTAAGAAATTATGGAAAAAATTAAAATAGCAAACGAAAACGATTCTTATTTCTAATTTTTTTTTTTAAAAAAAAAACATAGTTGGAGGGAAACCCTCTATATCTAAAAGGCGGCGTCTTGAGTTGAGTTGGTGAGTTCACGTAGTTGAGTAGTTAAAACTTAAAACCACTCTCCTCTTTTCTCTTGTCCTCCTCGAAACCATCGAGCCCAAAAAAGTAAACCCAAAAAAAAAAAAACATTGAACTTTTTCTCTAAATATAGCTCTTAATTTTTTTGGGTTGTTTCTTCTTTTGTTTCTCCTCAGATTTCTCACCCCATTTCTTAAATCTCATCGCCCTCATTTCCTTTCTTTATAAATATATATATATATATATATATATATATAAAACCAGTTGTGGGTTTGCTTTAAAGCTTTAAAACACAATGAAAATGGCTTCTTCAATCTCTGTTCCATGCCCCAAGATCTCTTATTTTCTAAAAACAAAGCAACAAAGCCAAACTCAAGGAATCTCTTTGGCTCTTCCTCAAAGTGCAAAGTCTAGCCCCAAATCTTGCTTGTCATTTGGATCTTCAGTCCGGGTATGGTTCATGTTTTGTTTGAAAGAGAAGGGGATTTGAGTTTTGGGTTTTTGATTTTATGGTTAATGTATGTGGTCAGAGATCTGGTTTCGTTGTTTGGGATTTAGTTTGAAGTTTTTTTTTTTCCTTTTGTGTGTTGATGACAATTGTGTTTCTGGACTTATGAAACCATGGTTGAGTAAGTTATTATTACACAGCAAAAAGGAGATTAAAATAAGAAAGAAAAAACTACAAATGAATGGCAAAATGCTTTCTTTCCCTGTGAATTTTCAACAGAATTTTATGAATTATCAATATGTCTATTGTTTTAAGATTGAAATGTTTTTGTTTTTAATATTTATTTCTTAGTATTCATCAATAATATGTTTTAAGCATTGCTTATATGAGATGGCAATTCATATTCTAATCTATTTTTTTCCTGCTTATGTTATAGTGACTATATAGAAGGCTTCTATCCAAATCTTGACATATGATACACAGTTTGTTTTTTTTTTTTCAATTGAAGTGCCCCAGTACAAATAGCATGTATGCGTAATGGATGTCTGTTTCATAGTCATGCAGTGAAATTTGTTTATTTGGTGAATGTTTAAATTTGCTGATTGTTTCCTGATCTGGCTGTCACTTGCAGTGGCATAATGGGAAGAAAACTACTATTCAATGTGAAGTTAAAATTTCTGTATTTATATGAGATCTATCGGTGTTCTGCTAAACCAACTTTGTAAAATTAAGGTTGCTGCAGGGAAATCCTCAAATTCTGTACCAGTAGTTGACACAAATTCTATACCAGTAGTTGACACAAATTCTAAAGCTGCATTGCCTAGGGAAGATGATGAAAAATACGCAGATAATGCTATTCCAGATGTTGCAGCAATCTCAGCATTCATGGCGCAAGTATCAGACCTTGTTAAGTAAGTTGAAGCATCTTCTTATGTGCGTGTACACTTGTATAAATGTGTGTTTTACAAGAAGCATCAGACTCATAATCAATGTTAATGTTACATTCGATGAGTAGACTTGTTGATTCAAGAGATATTACGGAACTGCAACTGAAGCAGTCAGATTGTGAGCTTGTAATAAGAAAGAAGGAAGCTTTGCAGCTGCCAGAACCAGTGTCTCCCATTGTCACGCCACAATACATGCCTCATGCAATGTTTCAAACTCCAGCTCCAGCAGCCCCAGTAGCAGCTCCTGCTCCTGCAAGCCTAGCCCTTCCAGCACCAACACCTTCCTCACCTCCCCCTGCTAAAACAGGCAGTTCATCTTATCCTCCCTTCAAATGCCCCATGGCTGGAACCTTCTATAGGAGTCCTGCACCAGGTGAACCACCATTTGTCAAGGTTAGTGCTTTTGGCTTTCTATTAATGTCATACCAGCTAAGAGCTTCTTTGCCAAAAGAGAAGGAAAAGCTTATTCATAATTAGTCTGAATTTTTTGTTCAATGAAAATATTTTGTGTGAACAAAGACTCAAATACGATACTCCTTCAATGGTTTTTCAGGTGGGAGATAAAGTACAGAAAGGTCAAGTTGTCTGCATCATCGAGGCCATGAAACTGATGAATGAAATTGAAGTATGTTCATGCTCTTATTTCTAACAAAATTTAGTGCTGCCCATTGAACATTCAGAGATATTACTCGGTCATTAATATGAGAACAACAAAATAAATCTTGCGGATTGGTTCCTATACTTTCATACATACTTGCTTAACAATTTTTGAAAGTTAAATGTTGCCAATAATCATTCTTATTTCACTCAACTCTTTGAATTCTCTAATATATTTGTATTCGCTTTTTATTCTTAATTTTTGATTTGACAGGCCGACCAATCTGGAACCATAACCGAGATTTTGGCCGAGGATGGAAAACCAGTTAGTGTAGACATGGTATCCTCTTCTCTCTCTGTCTCTCTCATATTCTATATTTTCTCTTTACCATTTGTCTGAATCCTCTGTATATCTGACTGCAGCCGCTATTTGTCATTGTGCCTTGAATAACCTGGCATGGCAAAGGAAGTGTGCTTGAAGCTTTATAACAGACAATGTTTTGGTATAATTTTTGGTTTACTCTCTAATTTTGAAACTAATAATGGTTCTCTTGGTTCTTCTGAGAATTATATGTAAGTGTTTATGTTTGATACTTAGAACAAGGCAGAAGATTTTTTATTGGGAATTCAACAGTTTGTGCTTAGTTTTGGACGTTTAGCAAATATAATTTATTTCCCTTTTTTCTTTCTAAACATAATTTTTTTTCTTTTATTCCAACTATTTGCTTCCCTAAAATTAGAAGGGGTTAATATGTAATTTGATCTCAAAAGCTATGTAATTTTTTATGATTTGATACTTACAAAAAAAATTGCATTTAGATATCTAAACTTTGTATTGGTCAAAGTATTTTTTATTATTGACTAATATTATTAATCAAATTACTGATATAGTAATTATTGATTAATAAAAATATATCATGTGTTACAATAATATTGATTGTTTCTTGTCATAGCAATGTATTATTAACAGAATTAGTATGTGAAGAATTATGAATATTTTTTCTAATTACCAAATCGATAAGAGAAGGCAAGATATTTCATTACTTTTCTGTATGTATCCCACAACAGTTTTCTATCCACCAAAAGTTACAAATCATGTTGCCATGGCAGCAAACATCCTGTCTAAAATAGGGAGTGATTGATTTTCAGTAAAAGAAAAGAATGCATATTTTGACTATGGAGAGCCAAATCAAAAATTACAGAATGGAAACAGCTCAAAACAAAAACAAAATAAAAAACCAATACTCTCCATCAGAGCATGCAATGCCCGATATTCCCCCTGCTGCTTTCAGTCTGTTCCCAAATCTCCTTATCCTTTTTTTGCTCTCAACCTATCCTATTTCTATTCTTTTCCTTAATGTAATGTACATGTTAGCTTACCTGTCATTATATTTACATCTACCATCGCTGCCTACTTCCTCTACCGCTGTAACTTTTCCTTCCACTGTTACTCAGCCTCCGAGCACCACCTGTCCAGTCTTCATCATCATCATCATCATCTTCATCACCACCAGTCGTTCGACCAGCTTTCCCTCCTCTCCGTGGAGTTGGGCGCTTCCTTTTGATATTTGCTGTGAAAGTTGAGTAATCAATAGTATCTTCCCTCAATGCATTTTTGTATTCCTGTACAACATAACATCAAAGTGAGAACTAATATACAAGATAGGATACTTGTGAAATTGAAATTGAACTTCGATACTCGTGTTGTATCAAGGAAGACTCTTGAAATGCTCTTAAAATGTTCACATTACCTGATATCTCTGCACTAAATCTTGATAAGTGGAAGGCAATGTTGTGTGTGTTTCAGAGATGTCAAAGGGAATGTTCTGCCTCGAGAGAACGTCCCCAGGTTTTATAGGTTCATTTGGCGAAAATGCCTAGTTATAGAGAATAAGATTCACAGTTAAAGTCAATTTCACATTTGCATTTACGGGGGAAATAATTCATAACGCAAAAATTCATGGCATAACCATAATTTTTAACCTGGCATCTTTGATCATTCAGGCTGTACACAATTTTTAGATGTCTTTTCAGCCTCATAAGAAGCTGTAGTGCAGTAGCAGCAAGACAGTCGGCCTGGAATAGCACCAAAGAGGAAGACGTCAAAATTAATAAAACATTACAGCTAACCAGTGAACATCCAATAGATTAAAACAAAATGCCAAGCAACCCCATATGTTGGAAGCCGTTGAGTAAATGCCTTTTTTCCCCCAAACCAAAGCATACAGACGTCAATGCAAAATGTGTTTTATCCAAAAAATCCAAAGCACTCAATCCAGGGAATAGAAAAGTGGGGTTTGAAGGGTTTCGAAGTACCAGGATTTTTTGCATTTCCTCTTCGGAGAGAGCACGAGTTTCAGAAGGGCTCATCTTATGCATTGTTGTCTCCATTGCAGGAGGATAATGTGAAATAGACTGATGAGTAAGGTTTTGTTGGATTGTACCATTCAAATCAATAGATGTCACGTGACAGAAAGCAGGCTGAACCACAGGCTCTTCTTGAATTGTTCCATTCAAATCTACCGTAGCCATATAATTATAAACAGATTGACTAGGATCGAGCTGACCTATCCTGTTATTAGTTGTCCGCTGAGAATCTGTTTGCAGCAAATTTGAACTCAAGGCTTTCAGATTTGCCTCAAGTGCCCCAGCCCTAACTTGTATCACTCGATTTATAGTGTAGATCAGATAAAGGGGTTCATCAGGAGATGAAAATGGCAACAAAGCTAGAGTTTCTGTACAGTACCTGTAAAAAGGAACTGACTTCTCAGTATAATTACTTAACCGAGATAAAAAATTTTAGAACTGGCAATGAGTAACTCACATCAAGAAAGGTATAACTGAATCATTCCAGCTAGGATTATCAAACTTGCGCACAATCGAAGACATAAACTTGTTTCTAGCAACACGATTTCCACGAATGAGCTTGTAAATTCTGGAAACTCCCAGCCTTGCTTGTGTTAAAGACCCAGCATCAGATTTCCCTTTCAAATTTCCAGGAAGCTTGGATTGGGATTTTTCATTTAGATTTCCGTGTGCATTGCTGCTAATGGAACGCATGAAGATAAATGACATCTGAAGCCCATCCCCTAGACGACTTTCGAAAAACGCAGGATATCTGAAAAATGAAGCATTTATTAGTTGTGCTAAGCAAATGGAAACAAAATAGATAACTTTAATAGCACAAGGGAAGTACTTTTCATTCATATTCATTAGCAAATGATGAGCCAACTTTTGGTTGGCCTCCAGTGGATCTGTTTCAAGGGCTATAAGGTATGGGACACAAGTAATAGGGTGAACAAGACCTTGACGAAGCACTACTTCCACTATCTGCATCGATAATAAATCAAGAAAATGATCAGTTCAAACAGACTATTTACAAAAATCCTGTAGCATGTAAAGTCAAACTCAATAAATTCAACCATCTGATCAATTGAAAGAGAATCATTCGTGCCACTTCCACCGAGTCTGATAAATGAATTGGAATCATGCAAGGCTTCAAGGCACCAAATTTTCTTTCCCTTTTTTTTTTTTTTTTGTTTTTGTTTTGCAAAGTCAACTTTCTTTCCAAATGGTAGGTTTAAGACTTGTGCTACAAACTGATCACACATTTTTATAAATTTCTTGCTCAGACCAAACTCTACAATTTAATTTAACTTTTACATTACTCACTCCACTGATATGAGGCTCAGATTCAGTCCAGAGTAGTAAAATTGCTTCTTCTCATAGAATGCAGACAATGTAAATAATTTCTCACCTTTAAGGCAGATTGGCGAACTTCTTCATTAAAGTCCAGGCATCTACCCAGAATATTATCCCAGTACAGCTGGACTATACCCCCACAAATGTTAGTATCGCCAGCACCTGCAGCTACAGGGACACTGTGCCCACCTTCTACAGAATAATGAACTGCATCATTACCGGCCTTGTCTGCTCCCATTTGACTTTCCGCATCAAGAAGATATTCCAACAAATTTTGTAACGCTTGCATCTGGTGGACATACTTGCTTAGCATGCATCTTGTAAATAAAAAGATAATTGTAAATAGAAAGTTATGACAATTTCACCTTAAGACGAACATTAGAACTCGGTGTTAATGCTGCCTCTAATATCTTTCCAATATCCTTTTCCAACATATATTCAGGCCTAGCTATTAGAGCAAAGCCTAATGCCTAAAATGAGAAGCCATATAGAAATGGCAGAATATGTTATTATATTAAAATATGCTAATAAGGAAACAGAAGCAAACTCCAAGATATCTTAGTAGAGAAGAATGGAACTTACCTGCAAAGATCTAACCTTTATACTAAAATCATCCATAAGAAGATAATTTTTAAACAAACTAAGACTGCTAGCAACATCAATATTTTTGTTACTGGAACCACTAAACAAAGAGTTTCCATAGCGGATAAGCAATCCAAGACAGAAGAGAGAACGCCCCACTTGCTGCAAAATTAAAAAAATAATAATAATAATAAATAAATACATAAAGGAGTTGACTTAAGCTTATCACTCACATACAAATTTTCTTTCACGGAAAAGACAATTGAAAAACTCACCAAACCTATTTCTGCAATTCAAAAATCTGTATATTACTTGTTTATTTATTAGCATGTACGTTTACTTTAAGCCAACTGTCCTTAAAATTCACAGAAATGAAAACAATAATAAAAGGTGCTAAACAATGATACAAGGTGCTAACCTAAGTTTCTAACAGTTCTAGAAATAGAGATATGTTGCCAACACAATTTTTTATCAATAGATTTGCACGTGATGGATTAATGAAAGGAAAAGAGTAAGAAGCTTCAAATTTTCAATACTTACCACTTAGTTTTATTTTGCATTTTTGTACTCTGGTAGCTGACCTCTATTTTTTTTTTTTTTTTGCACTCTAGATTTAATCATGCTAAGAATATATACTAATTTTCTGATACATCATCCGGAATTTTGAAATAAGGAATTATCACTTTTATTGCTTGTGCTGCACCTAATGAAAACCAAATATATATATTTGACTAGCCAAAATGATTACATGTGAAAGTAACAATATTAAGTAAAGATTTCTAGTAATGAACCTGCTTGTTGTCAGTTGCATGGGAATCCAATAATTTGAAGAATAACTGAATGAGATACTCAACAACAGCACCACCAGTCCCTGCCTTTTTACTCACAGAACAAAGACACCTGCAATGAGAAATAAACAAAAAAAAAAAAATGAGGGAATTGAAAGCAGAAATAGAATACTTTCTAAGTAGTGACACCTGAATTTTTACTCAGTGTAGCTTCGAATCACATTCCAAGCAGACAGAAAAACAAAATATAAATTCAGGGCTTCGGCAGAAATAGGATTTAAAAAACTTAAACTTCAACAAACAATTGGAATTACAGCAAAACTAAAGATCGTAAGAAAGAGAAGCTGAACATACTTGATGCAAGCATGGACGACAGTCAAAAAAGAATGTCGGACAATCATGTGCTTCAAGTCTTGTTTTAGTTCTTCGATAACGCTAAGAGGCAACTTTCGCATCAAAGGCACAACAGCATCAATTATAAAGATTATACTCTCCAGTAACTGTGCAACAACTCTGTTATCAACCTGAACACAAGTAAAAGCTTGTCAAGCATGGCCTCCACAACCTAAAAACAATGGGATTACAGCAGTGAAGAAAATGTCCAGAAACAAACTTTAGAAACTAACCAATGAAAAGAGAGGAAATTGAAGAAAGTAAAATTGGGCCAATAATAAGAACCATTAGATTGACAAACACA